GTCGGCTTTGATGACTTTCCTTGAGATTTTGTGTTTTTGAAATCATAAATAGTCTGTTTTTTAACGGGCATCTGTTACGTTCTATTGTCTTTATTTACTACTTTACTGAGTAGTCAATCATTATTTTATAATTTATTTTTGAAAAAATTCTTTTAGTGTGGTCAAACACGTGCGATTCTTACTGGTGTACAAATACTCAATAACTTGGTGTCGGAGATGAATCACGACAGTGAGGTAAGTGTGTTTGTACGTTGTGTTAAACTAAGATTGGTACTCACCTTTTGTACAAACATCAACACACACATACGTGATGAATTCTCCGGTTCTTTTGACCATAAAAATCGTTAAATAAAAATGCGATATCATTTATAAATTGTGCAACTGTGAGATTTCACCGACGAAGTTTCAACATAAAACTTTGTAGAGAAGTGCAGTACTTCAACTTGACATATTATATTTTCTAAGGACAGAAGACGAGGGCCAGTCAACAGATCGTTTATTCAGAAAATCAAGAGATATTTATGAATTTTAATGTAAATTGTTATTCGTCATTGCTAGCAGAGAAGCAACGTCTTCTGATTGGCTGTTTTCTTTCTGAAGGTTATTCTGTACCGCTTGTGACCGTTTCTTAGAAAGCTAAGCCATATATCTGCGAATCATATTTGCACACGTTAAGTCTGCTGTGATTGGTTGTTTAGTTCCTCAAGGTTAAGCTCTGTTATTGTTGTTTCTCAGGACCCCGATTCGGGAAGTAAACATTGACGTAAATTGCTGTCTACAACTTTGGCTAGCAGACAGCTCTCACCAAATATTCAGTACACAAAGGTAGAGAAAAGAAAAAAAAAGTATCCGAAGAACTACAATCACCAGAAATGTGCGTATAAAACCAGCAAGGGTTTAGTGGATACGAGGGATCACTGAAAGTAAATTCATCTGTGCTATTGAAAACGATTTCGAGCCATATCACCATTGGTTCTTCTTAGCATCCAGTGGACCACAACCAGACATTCAGCATTCCCTACTTGGCGGGAAAGACCAGCAGGCAAAGACTTCACGGATTGATTCCATGTTTTGGTGTGGCCACTCCTAACACTCTCCTAATCTGGTCTTATGTCATCTAAGATTTCTTGTCGAGAAAGGCGGTGGCTCAGCCTGCGCATAACCCTCTACACCTAAGCTCATTATTGCTCACCATATTATACCACTAAACACGACAGACAGAACGCGCAAACTGTAGGGTCACTACTCTATTTGTTCTTTCAACCCCTTGACTTTCATTTCAATAATCCTGTTGAAAAGTACAAATTAGTTGGTCAGCAGGTAACTTTGTATGTATGTATGCTTGTTCTTTCATTTCATATTATGTGCATCACTTTAATTTGACCAACTGGGCAAAGTTAAACTTTAAGCACCACTAACTACCAATCAGCGAATGACATTGAAAGCACCAATCACGTGAAGAAAGCCTTTTGGTGTATGAAATACATATATTTATGAAAAGATGCATTTGATAAAAATAGCTCAGTTTTAGATGAAAGAGGCTACAGTCAATTTCTAGGTCATGATGTGTTCCTGCGTCGGCTGGTTGTATGTTTTCGTGGATTCCTTTTCCACCGGATTTTAAAGGTTTTTTTGATGTTTTGCTCATTTTGCAGTGTGTAGATCAGTTTTTATCACTAGATGCTACTATTAAGCTTATTTTTAGCCTGAAGTTCCCAGTTATTATGTTGGTAGTCAAGGATTAGGGTAAACCTGCAATCATTGAGCCAATTAACGTATACTATGCTAATATAGTAACATTTTTAAAAATAAGTAAACTCTAACTGTTTTGCCATTGTTTGACAGTGAAACTGAGCGCTGGTTTTTCATCATGAGCGGCACTAAATTGAACCTACTAGGTTTGCTTATCAGCGCTGCTCCAGCCCTCACAGGACATATTAAGCATGGACTAGCGTTACTTCAGAGCGAAAAGTTTTAATTCGGTACGCAGCTCTCTTTTTAAGTACAACCAGCGTCATTTCAGAACATAGTGGGTAAATTAGATCTTCAGTTACCATAAAAAGGCATTATCGAGGAATAGGTTGGAATAAGTTTAGAATTTTTGTAAGCTTGGTGGTGGTGCTGTGGTCTAAGTGATAAATCGTATTAATCATCGTTATTCAGGATATGCTATGAACCAGAAATGATCGGCTGAAAAACGTAAATAAGGCACACTTCGATGTAATTTATAACTTACTCCAAAGTGCTCTCATCACGAAACAATCAACCAAAGTATGATTTAAACTGTCGCTCTCAGCCATTTGAAGGGAAATGCATTTGATTTGTGCATACTAATGCACAAATACGACAGGTCAATGAATTGACAACTTAAAAATGTAGATTAGTTAATACACACATTTATCTATATGTACTAATTAATTAAGGATACATTTAGAGTTTAGATATTGTAGTTGAATTATATTCGCCTAGTAAGCAAAAATGCATACATCCTTATTTTGGACTTAAAATAAATGCATCGAAATTACTGTTGATTTATATTCATTTACTGGACATTCTCATACCTCTCAATGGACTTTAAACACCACCAATGCATCCAAATAGCATGTGACTATCACACTACACTCACACCAAAAAAATTAACATGCCATTATATTATGGTAAGGTAAGCCCTAACTAAATTAAATTGACTGTAAATTTCCGTGTAAAAAATAAAAAGATTGCCGTTTTAACTTACATTTTAGACCAATAGGAACCCAGCTAGCCAGCAGCCAATCAAAATCTGCCTAAATCCATTTTCGTTTTAGATTAGTGTCAACAGAGTATGATTTCATCCAGCACTACTTACTAAGCAATAGATTGTGCTCGAAACATGGTCACCAGTAAATATCACTACTGTATAACACGATGTGAGACTTTATCAGAATAAATTTTTACCCACAATGAAATGAAACTATACCACAGTGAACAGGTTCTATTCTGATGTCAACAGAGTAATTTAACCACATTCTATGCATGCAGTTATATAGGTCTTCTAACCCTGACAACAACCTTAATCTTTCCCGTACCTAACCCTAACGTGAAAATATCCCTAAACTAACTGTTATCTAACTCGAACCAAACCTACCGTCGCCTTTGTTAGAATAACCTAACACTAACTTGTCCTTAGCTTAAAGCGCAACTTAATCTTTCCCAAATCCAAGCTGAAACTTGCCAAATATCCCATTTAATAGCATAACACTTTGATGAGCATATTTTATTGATGATGACAGTATTATCTGCCGGATTCCACTGTCTTGCTCAATGAGTGTTTCAGGGTCATTGGTGTGGTCGCACTCCATTGGTAGTTGGTGGGGGTGGTGCTTGGAGTTTAACTCGGCCGTCAACTGTACTTAGTACATCAAGATTTAGCACTTCCTAATGGTAAATTTCTCTTACCATCGTCCAGTAATCATCTCATATTCAGACCAAAGAAATTCGACTGATTTGTATTCTACTGTTTCATTTTGAACAATAGTCTCAACGGTGCATTCCATCTTATGTTACTCAGCTTTTTTATTTTGATATAAAGGTTTTCCTCTATTTATTTCTTTGTCCTTACTATGAATGAGAAATACGTGAGAATATCTCAGGCAAATATTGTCACCTTAGATTATCAAGCACATATGTTGAGAGTGTGTGTGTGTGTGCCTTAGTTGCTTAGTTATTTTGATGGATTCTGTTCAAAGTATGGGGAATTGGCAAATATATATGCGTTCAAGTATTGCTTTTGTAGGGATTTTGTTTGATTGGTTGGAGGAGGGGGCTCTTCATGAGCTAACATCAGTCAGAGAACCATTGGAAAACCTGGCAGTACTGGACAGCTGTTTCGTCCCAGTTTTTGACTCTTCAGTAGTACCCAGTGGTTTACAATTACTCATATGTCGATCGGAGTATATACCGTCATATATTTATCCTTAATACTTGCGATTTTCTGATCAATGTTGTCCCCAGCCGTTAGTCCTTGGGATCTCGAGGAACCCAGTCGGGTAGCCTAAACCTCCCTACGTGACTGAAGGAAACAATAGTCAAAAACTTCATGAACTGATGTCTGGTTTTTGTTTGACCACTTCTAGATCGTCTCCAACCTAATACAATGCCAGGTAACATTGCATGGTGCGAGGAAGGCGATGCTTTAGGATGCTTGACACTTGTCTTAGCCATGTCAACCTGTGTAGTTTCACAACTTAGTTGACTGACGTGCCGTCGTCACCTAGCACTTTACGCTTAACCTGAATATTTCTCACTATATTATACTTTGGGTGATGGCTAGCTTTGAGAGGTTTAAGTAGTTTGACCGCTTAAGTTTTAGATTAGTGAACCGTAAAAGTGTGATGTCCTCTAAGTAATTGCTTAAAATAGGTGGAAGTTAACAGAAATAGTTTTAGACATATATAAAAATGATATTTGTAGACATCTAACCAACATTGAAGAGAAATAATACCAATATTTCCTTCATTTAGCTATGAAAGATCTGTGGCCATGCAGTCATATAGCCTTTGCCAGATAAGACCTTTTCACTGCCTTCATGTGGCGGGGATATTCCTCACGAATGTGAAAGGGTAAATACCAACGCCTAGCGCTTACAACCGGACTGGTGGACATGCTAGTCTACCTAGAGGAGTTGGACAGCCCTGATTCCAAACCTGTAGTGTACATTGGTTCCAGAATCCGAGAAAATCAAATGGTGTATGAACCTGTTTTGGTTACTTCCATCCATGGAAACATAGCTCCTAACACTGCTCTGCTGCCCTATAGATCAGACTTTAAGTCAGATGCTTTGGGAATAATGGCCCCTTAAGATAACCACCTGCCTTTGTGTAGGGGTCTGGGCAGTATCCCAGCTCAGTCACAAACTATGAGATTGTGACTGGCGGATCTCTTGGTTTCGATAATGTACGAAGTTTGCGTTTCAATAATAGTAATAACAGTCACTTAACTGTGCCGAAATTCTTCAGGAGAATAAATCATTCTGTACTCAAATTCCCTGTCCATCCATGTATGAGATCACTGGATGAGACGTTGGAACTACTTGTTTGGATATGTCGGATATTTTCCCGTTGACATCCAATATTCCTGGAAATATTCATTCAAATTTTGACCAAAGTTCGTGTCGAAGCAGACTTGCACTTACAATGAATGATAATCAGCACATAATGCAGAAAAGGGGAAAAATTGGTGACAGCTCAACTGAGATATTTATAGATTTCAGAATAATGAAGAGTAAATACACCATCATTAGAGTTTTATCACAGAGAAATTCCATTTATCATGTGAGTTTAGCCGACAACATGTACTTTCCCGCCTAGTTCAGAATACATCATTCATCGATTTTATAGTTTAATGCCATTTGCTCGTTTCACAGTGTTTAGTGACTTTTTCTGATTTAATCCTACTTCACTTTGAGATGTTGGATCGTTTGTCTTAATCACTCAGCTTTCAACCAGTGAGTTCCAGGTTTGAATATCATTGTACCTCTAGTTTAGCCTGAACAACTGGATAGTGTCATTATAGCCCCGGTAACACAACAAGTGTAATGGTGCATAGTAAAATTCCGTTTCTGGGTCACTGAGGAACAGATGAGGATGTCAAATCGAGCGAGAATCGGGAAGGCGAGAAACACATCCATTCATCAACCTGAAACCAATCTGGAAATCTTCATTACTCAGCATCAACAACCAAATTCGGTTGGATTTTCAATACAAACGTCAAGTAAGTCAGTTCTTCTATACGGATCAGAAACTTGGCGAGCGGGTCACAAAGAATATTTCCAACAGTCTGTTGCAAACCTTCATCAACCAACAACTGTCTTCGCTGGCTCTATACTGAAGATCAGATGGCCGGGTCGGAAAGAATCACCAACAAGAAACTATGGGAAGAAACAAAACAAGAACCAATCGCCCAGCAAATATGCAGGAGAAAGTGGAGATGGATTGGACACTCGCTGAGGGGGCCGTCTGGGTGACATCGCGCGCGCGTCAGGCCATTGCTCGAGTGAAACTAGGCCGAAAAGGAAGTACGTGGCGAGTGAGACATCAGTGCAAGGGTGATATGGAGGAGATCGTGTGAAGAGGAGTTGAAACAGCCAGTATGGACTAACATGGATGCAGGCGGAAAGTACAGCAGAAGACAGAAGTGGCAAGTGGAGACGTACAGTTGAAGCCCTCTGTTCCACTAGGAACCCAAGGGAACAGTAATAATAATAACCAACAGTTTAGTTTCTTCGACATACTACAAAAGAGGTATATGACATGTAAACGGAAAAAAAAGATATTTTTGGTGTTACCATTATCGCTTGGCATTTCAGCTCAAGTGCACACGTCCTGGTATTACCTGTGTATTTCCCATTAGTATAGCTCACTGACAATGCTCGCAGGTCACGCAGATAACCTGGGTTCGATTCTCGACTTTCAGACGCACTCCTGAACCCTGTCTAGCTTACTATTAGCGATAGGAGACCTAGAACAGAGGGACTGTTTGGCGGGCGTAAGGTGGTTAGCAACCCCACCATGTACAGACTGTATCACCACTGCGGAAACTTCCACTCAGAAATCAAGGAATGGACAAAAAGCCACAGTCACTTCACGATGATATTTGCATAGAAATTATATAATTTATTTTAAAAAAACTAGATAAATGTTTTAAAGTTGTATTGATTTGCTTTTTTTTCTTTCTAGTCTGATATAACTCGTGGAATATTTCTGCAGCGTAAAAGATCTTCATCATTTCGTGATCTACTCCTCTTGCCTATATTTCGACTTGGCTTAAATCTACTACGTGACGCTGATCGTAATTTAGCATCTTTAGACTTGAATAATTCTGAACAAGTAAGCATACTTTATTCTCTTAAAAGTTCTATAATTGTATATATTTTTTGTAGGGACTGAGGTGTTAATTTTAAGTTACTTGTTTAACGGTGTCCAGTAGCTGGTGGTAATGTTACGATCTGACTATTTCACGATATCATTGAGATTAAAGTAGAGTAGGAATGCCGATGCTGGACACGGACAGGCTGACTGACTCACTGACTAGTTTCAACATAGAACTTGCACAGATGTTCAGCAGCTATAGTTGCCACTCCTCCCCGCCCCCCCAGCCATGTAGCACACAAAGCAAGAAAGGGAGTAAAAAAGATTCATCATAAGACAGATAATATACAAAAGTGTCAGCGAGAGAAAAAGAATAATAGTAATATTGAAAAACAGTAGAGTTGTATTGGATATGACAAAGAGTGAAGGGATCTGCACCAGTTAGCTATTGAGAACGATTTCTAGTCATATCACCAATTGTTACGCATCCTTCATTGTTTCTTGTCATCCCCAGGATCCCAACCAAGGAGGTCTGCATATCCCTATGTGGCTTAAACTAATTGTCATGTATTCTATTGACTGATGAAGTCATGTTTTGGTTTGACCACCACTAGTTAGCTCTTTTCCAACCTGATCCAGCCAATGTCAGTTAACATTACTCGTCGAGGACGGCAATGACTAGGCAGGCATACTCAACACATGTCCTATCCATCTCAATCAGTATTACTTGATCACCTTGTCGGTTGATTTCCTCTCCTCACCTAGTAATTGACGCTTAACCTCTGTATTACTCATCCTATTATACCACTTAAAAATGATGATAGGATACAGGCACCTAAGATCAAAGACAGCTAACCTTTTCATGTCTCTTACTTTCAATGGCCATGCCCCGATCATAGTCATAAAGGAGGATGCGCTAATCACAAGTATCTCTTGACTACATACACTAACAGCATTGTACGACAACTGACTGTTTCTCCCAGCCCGTTCAAATTAAGCCAGAACACAGCGACGTGAGGTTGGAAGTATATTTAACAAGGGGTGAAGTGGTAGAGCACGTTGACCACTTCACTTATTTGGGAAGTACCATCAGCCAGTGCCAACGGGCTAATCTCTGACGAAATCTCAGCACGGATATAGAGGGCTAATTTCGTATATGCCAGTTTACGCCGTCTCTGGCGTAGACGAGATATCCGGCTGGCTATAGACCAAAGGGCGAGTGTACTGCTCACCACTCAGCTCCGTCCTCCTTTATCACTGAGAGTGAGACCTGGCCATTGAGAGTGGAAGACATGAAAAGATTACCTGTCTTCGATCATAGGTGCCTGCGTTCTACCTCCCGTGTTAAGTGGTTTAGTATTGTAAGCAATACTGAGGTTAAGCACGGTCGACTTCTAGGTAAGGAGGGGAAATCATTCGACGAGGCTGTGAAGCTAAATCGACTGAGATGGTTAGGACATGTGTCACGACACATGCCTAGTCATCGCCTTCCTCGACAAACAATGTTAGCTGACTGACATAGGGTCAGGCTGGAAAAGAGCTAGTGGAGGTTCATCAGTCAGTGAAATCCACAACAGTTAGTCTAAGCCAGCCACGTAGGAAGGTGTAGACTTCCTGGTTGGGGTCCCCGGGACAGTAAAAACCAATGGTTGGAAACAACTGATTATATGGCTCAAAATTGTTCTCAATGGCTAGCGCAGATGCATCCACTCCTTGTGGCTTATGATTTCCAATGAAACTATATTGTTCTTCGTTATTACTATTCATTTGTCCCATATCCCTTTCTGCTGTCTCTAATATGCATTTCTTCTACTTCTCTTGCTTTGTGTGCTACAAGAAGTGGAGTATGGCGACTTGAACTGCTGCACATATGTGCAAAGTCCTATGTCGAAAACAGACAGACAGACAATATCTTGAAAGTTATTTTCGAATAGTTACAATAATTCTCCTGTTTCAAGAGATCGCTCAGTTCGTAGTAAAACTCATCCTTCATTGCATCCGGGCTGCAATCCGTCGGTGCATAGGCAGAGACAACAAATATACACCGCCTATCTGGTCTACTATTCCTTACTTTTGTATAACCTTCCAGCCTCACAGCACATAAACGACTGTTATGGGAATCCAGTCGAGCAGTGCAGCTTCGGGTCTAGCGCTCAGTGCGACACCGACACCAGCTACACCGGATGCTGACGCCACAGGGTCCCCTGATAAGCGCAGGTGGTACATACTACTAGAGCTTCCAGATGGAGAGGATAGTCAAAGCACTTCACTGGGATCTTGAATGCGGGTCTCCGAAATGCAGCAGACATCGATAGCGAGTCTTTCCAAAGTTCTTATCAACCCTGCCTTTTATCCGATACGCATCAGCGTCCGAACATTGTAGGTGGCCAGCTTGAACGCGGCACGCGGTTTCAGGATATCTGTGTTAGATGTCACATTGGGGACAACCATTTTGAGGATTACTCACTAACATCTCAAAACGACACAGTTAGGCTGGGAATCTCGACAAAGGCGAAAGGCCGTCGAAGGTTAAGAAGTCAAGGTTAGCAAAGGTAAACTACAGGAAACTATGTATAAAAATAAAAGTAAGTAAGGAAGGAAGGAAGGAAGGAAATAAGTTGCTTGAAATCATATTTGCTAGCGCGTGTTGAGTTTCAATGAGAGTTCGTTGCTTTAATTCATTCATTGTGTGCGGGCTGAGGTACTGCCCGGGCGCCCAGGCCGAAGCAGGTGGTTTTATTGAGGGACCACCCGCCGAGCCTTTGACTTTGGAGTCTAATCCTCAAGGCAGCAGAGCAGCGTCCGGAGCTGCATTCCCATGGTTCCTGGTGACCCATATGGGTTCATACGCCATTCGATCCGATTGGATACTGGAGCCCATGTACCCCATGGTAACTGCTTTTAGTTTAACCGCTATCCAGAAAGCCTTCCTGACATGGTAGGACCTGTAGAGACAGAGTCCCAGCCAGTTTAGCTTGTTGGGTCATTGCAGTATTCAAGCCCGACCACCACGGCAAGGTTGCAGTTATCGGCCGGGCAAACGTATAACGTCATCCATCATTGCTTATATATATTCGTTTGTGGAGCTGTGGTTTATTGGCTTAGGTGCTTGACTTCCAATCACTGGCTCATGTGTTTGAATCCCGCTCCACGTTATTGAGGTTTAGACAGTCAGATAGCAATCACTAGCCCTTTCATATAATAGGTATGGCTCATTACCATCTGCATAGAATTACAATCGGTTGTTGTGGGTAGCATTTCATATATTCACTTCAGTTGACGATTTTCAGTCATGAGTGAATCTCATATTCTCCCCAACACACACATACACACCTGTAATTGACACGCAAAATACACTATTTAGTTTCTTAAATGTTTTTTTTGCTATCATCTGTGTGTTCCCTATCTCTTATGCCTTGAAAGTTTTTTTTTTTTTTTTTTTTTGCATTATCATCACACATATACTACAGCATGGACTTTTATCGCAATGCCTACAGTTAGTTCACTCGTGTCTTTCATACGATTTTATTGGATCAACCGGGGCAGTGCATGTAGTGGTGCAGTGTGTGATGGTTCATCATCATCAGGTAATTGTTTGGATGATTTAGTTGTTGTACAAATTCCAACAAGTTGGCGATCAATTTTTCTTGATTCAGATACTATCCCATTGTTTTTTCGTATGTATAGAAATCTTTCTCCGGATTTATCAGTACTGGTAAGTTATGTTTTTTTTTATTGTTTTTCTTCTTGATAATTTCCTTCTTAATATTTTACAAATCAGATCCACTTGGTACTGGTCAGTTGTTTCGTCCTGGTTTGAGATTCTTCAAGTAGTAGTACGCAGCTGATGACCCCTTCCACGTCTAAGAATGGAATCCAGGGTCTTCAGGTTACTGGTCAAGCCTTTCAGACGGAATTCTGTCTGTCTGTCTGTTTTCGACATAGAACTTTGCACAAATGTGCGGAAGTTCAGGTCGCCACACTATCAAGCCGAAGAGTTGCATCAGTGGAAGAAAGGCAAGATGATAGAGATGAAGATCAAGACAAAGATGAGTGAGTAATAGAGAGGTTTCGCGTGCGTTTCGGATTGTGAGGGCGATTGTTACTTCCCGGTTGCCCACACCGTGGAAGTTGGTTGCGTGACCGCAGAGCCCAGGGGACAACTGCTTGAGGCCGGTCACATGCAGCCTGCTTTTGTTTGTTCTTTGTTGTTTTGTGTGCCTCAGTAGCATATTTATCACTCCTGCCCTGTGACACGGCAGCAGGAAGCGCGGTCGTTGTTAATCCGGGCCACGGCCGATCCGGCATGAAATTTTGTGATTTTGTTTTGGTCATGATGTTGGATTGGGTAGCTGCTTTTTGTTTAACCGCTATCCAAACAACCTCAAGAGACATAAGTCTCAGCCAGTATAGCTTGAATAGGTCATTGCGGTGTTCAAGCCCGACCACCACGTCAAGGTAGCAGCTTTCAGTCGGAACTCAAAGGCTTTTGACCTGAAATTCCACCAATCCACTTGAGAGGAACGCCTTACTAACGTCAAATCCTTGCCAACGTGTAGTATAACCTCTCCTTTAGACCCTGCCTCCGCCTTCATGCAGCACACAACAGTGACTGCTATCAATCTCATAACTATACACCTGATTGTTTTGGTAGATCCGAAAAAAACATAATGTTGCAGTAATCGTAGCTAGTAAGTGATTATGGGAGAGGGGGCAATACAAGCAAACGCCTTCCATCCTTCTCTATGGCTCTGAAACATGGCCAATACGAGTTGAAGACATGAAAAGGTTGACTGTTTTTGATCATAGATACCTGCGATCTCTTTCTCACGTTAGGTGGTGGTATTATAAGGTAAGTAATGTTGACGTTAGGCGTAGAGTGTTGGGCAAAGAGGGGAAATCAATCGAGGAGGCTATAAAGTTACGTAGATTGAGATGGCTAGGTCACGTGCTGTGCATGCCTAACCATCGCCTCCCCTGACGGGCGTTAATAGCTGATATAGGTGGTGCAGGTTGGAAAAGAGTAAGTGGTGGCCAAAGAAAAACACGGCCTCATCAATCCATGAAATCCTTGACAGTTAAACTGAGTCGGTCAGGTAGGGAGATGTAGACTTTTGGGTTGGGGCCCTCGGGACTCTAGGAATCAATGGCTGGAGACAATAGGTGACATGGCTCAAAATCGTTGTCAATGGCCAGCGCTGATGTATTCAGTCTCTGTAATCTTTCATATTCCTTTCTACCATTATCCATTCTGTTTCGCCCTTATACTTGTCAGACTCTATTGATTCTCTTCACTCATCTTCTTGTCTACTTCTGTGTGCTATTTGGAACGTGGCAACTTGAAGTGCTACACTTCGGTGCCAAGTTCTATGTTGAATCCAGACAGACAGGCAGACAGACTTGCATACATCAATGAAGAGTTTCAATTTAGCAGGAATGTTGACCGACCTTTTAGTAATGTAGATATATCTTCAACAAACTTTTCATCCCAGTGGAAGTACAGTATTTGTGATTTGTTTATTAGCCTCAGTGTTCAGAAAGTTGTGGTGGGCAGCTATGGCCACTTAAGAGGTCAATAAAGTCGGGTGGAGGTTAATTCTCATCTGATAAAACCGAATGATAAACATGTTTTATGACGTCTTATCGTTTCACCAAGGTATCTATCTCATTTCTCAGTCTCTCCGACTTCTCAGTTAAAACTAGGGCAGCTGAGTTAACACATTTGCACTACATTGCCTCTTTCTCTCTCCCTCCGTTTTAGTAATTATGTTACTAAAATTTTTTCTCCATTTCTTTGCTTTCCTAGTGAAACATCTGTTTCTAAGCTTGAGATTTGAGGTTTCTGTAATGGTAGTGTAACGACAGAAGACAAGGGCCAGCCAACAGATCGTTTATTGAGAAAACCAACCGATATTTATGTATTTTTATGTACATTATTATTCATTGTTGTTAGTAAAGAAGCAACGTTTTCTGATTCGTTGTTTTCTTGCTGAGAGGTATTCTGTCATCTCTTTGTTGGCGTTTCTTAGACAGTCCGGTGATATATATCTGCGAATCGTATTCACCCACGCTAGGTCTGCCTTGATGTGTTGTTGAGTTCCTCAAGGTTAAGTTTTGTTCTTGTTTTTGCTCATGACTCCGATTCGGGACGTAAACATTGACGTAAATTATTATTATTATTATTGTATCCTTTAATTCCTAGAGGAACATAGGGTTTCAGCTGCACGTATCCATTGCCTTCGGTTTTCTGCCAACTTTTTCACCTGGCTCCAAGTCTGCCCACATGCTTTCATCTCCTCTTCACATGACCTCCTCCAAGCCACTCTTGCACTGACGACCAACTCGCCGCTTCCATTTCGGGTTCCACTCGAGCAGTGGCTTGTCTAGTGATTTCATTTGATGATTTGTTTTCTGAGAGTATGGCCAATCCGTCTCCATTTCTTTTGCCTATTTGTTGAAAAATCGGTTCCTAGTTGGTTCGCTCATTTCCAGAGATCCCTGTTGCTGATCTTTTCTGGCCGTCTGATTTTGAGTATTGAGCGAAGACAGCTGTTAATGAAGGTCTGTAGTTTGTTCAAAGTTCCCTTCGTGATGCTCTGGCCAATTCTCTGATCCATTCGTATAGTAGTACTGACTTCACATTGGAGTTGAAAATCCGGATCTTATTTTTGATGCTAAGTGCTGTTAACCTCCACACAGACTTGAGAGTAATGAAAGCTTGCTTTGCTTTTCCGATCCTGACTTTGATATCCTCATCAGTTCTGTCTGTAGTTGAAACGACGCTTCCCAGGTAGGTAGGGGAAGGAGGTTGCTTCTTTCAGGTTCCTCCCATTTATGCTGATTATTGTCTGTTGTCGTTGCTGTTAGTGTTGCCCAGGAATCTTCATCACCTCTGTTTTCTCTACTCTCATCTAAAGTCCTTATTTTTGATGCTTCTTCTGCCAACTTGTTGCTTTTCACTTTCATATCTTCCAGTTTGTGGGAAATCAGACTATAGGTCATCATCGGGGAAGTCCAGATCCTCCAAGTTTTTTATGTGGGTCCATTTTATGTCTGTTTCCTCACTGCCTGTCTCATTATCCAGTCTACTGCAATCAGGAAGATCATTGGCGATGGTAGACAGCCTTGTTTCTCTCCCATGCTCACTTCGAAGGATTCCGTAAGTTTCCCGTTGTAAACTGCTGTCTACCAATTTTAGCTAGCAGACAGCTCTTACCACAGCCGTGTTGTTTTTACGGGATGAGGTTTCATCGCCTCACTCTCGATCATCCATCTTTACCGAATGTACTGTCTACTAAATATGTGGTTAAAGATTGCGTCGGCCGGGAATCGAATGCAGACCACACGCGTGGCATGGTTGGCGAGCATTTTACCATTGAACTGCCAGACTCACATCACTTTAAGATAAAGAGCAGAATAGCATCAACCAGTATTGTCTATTGTTCTTTTGACAATATTCAGAAAAAAGTATTCTTAAAAATTGTTTTTTCTTTTTGCTGTTTTTCTCCTACATACGCTTAGGCGCTTTCTTGTCTTATTCAAATCTCAAGTATCCGACGCTCTTTATTCACAAATGCTGAAAGATCAATTTTTCTCGCGCAAATTGTATCTGGATGTCGGAGTATTTTATTATCAGTTTGTGGGAATTCAACACAGACGACGACGACAACAACTACCACGACAGCTTCACCAACTGTTATTGGTTCACCTTTAAATAGGCATGTTAATACTACACCTAATACTACTGATAAGACTAATAGTAGTAGTATGAATAACAATAATGAGGCGTGTAATTTAATGAATAATCCAGAAGCATATCATGAATTCTGTGTTCTCTTGTCCAGGCTGAAATGTAGTTATCAATTGAATGAGTTGTTGGTACTCAGTGATTATTCTTCATTTATTGAATTATTGACTATTTTCACTGTACACAGTATAAAGGTTAGTAATCATACAATCCTAATTTTTGAGGATTTGTCAATTTTTTTTTGCTATATACTGATATGAACTCAAGGTTAACATTATAAAGTGTAAGTAAGTAGTGTGGCGTGAGACCATGGCATAAACACTTGGAACTTTCAGCTAAATTAGGTTCATGTTCGAATCCCTCTCCATTTCAGCTTCAGCGTGTGCATCTGGGCAGTTGTCATCAGCTCTTAAGCAATAATAATTTGTGGCGCATGTGGCCTGGTACATGAAAACCCTGTTTCAGTGATATTTTGGCGTATGCTACTGACAAGAATTATGAATAGTATATAGACACAAATATAAATATTTTTATTGAATTTGAGATTTTCCCGTCGATTGATTGGACCAAAGTGCTCAGTCTCAGGTTGACATGTCGGCTTCTTGTGCAGATGCTTCGACGATATCTGGGCATTTAGTTAGTATTCAACTGGCGGATGGTGACTAGTAGTGGAATCCAGGATGCGCACAAGAGGTGGCTGTCGTGGCGTTTGAAACTATGGGTACTGGGTTCGAACCTCGATGGGAACATCATCAATCACTCACTGAGAAATGCAGGTACATCCAGATGACGAGTCCCAAATAGGATGAAATGCGCGTTATCCTGGATTCCAATACTGGTCACCATCCACCAATTAAATACAAATATAAATATGTGCATCATCTGTAACAATATCGAATGGCGAAGAGAATAAATGAACGATGCTTGTGTATAGCAACATGGAAAACATAAAAGGACGACAAAGGAGCACACTACGGTGGACAACGGTAGCACATTTCGGAAGGCACGTGTAAATAGTGGTTTTAATGTATGGTAGACGTATTTCGCCCTTACTCATACCACCGATTCGCTCATAAACAATTCCGTTGCCAAATACTCCTGTTTGGTTACTATTTGATATGTAAGCAAGTGTAATCCGCACCTCCAATTCGAATGACTCAGTGAGTGAGTAACTGACTGGTAGCCAGAAAATGAATATCTAACTGAATAGTTTTAAAGTTGGATCACCGATTGGTAGCAGATGGGGAACCATTGGAAACCAACAAGGACTACTGGACAGCTGTTTTGTCCTAGTTTGAGAATCATCCTCAGTACACACCCACCGTTAGGATTCGAATCCAGGGCCTTCCGATTACAAGTCAAGCTCATTAACCCGTTGGGTGCGTACTGCCGATGAGTCCCAAAATAGGATGAAACAGATGTCCAATACCCCTGATTCTCAATAGTTCTCTAACTGATATCAATCCGTAGTCAAACTTGGGACAAATCAAAAACTCTTGAATGACTTTTGACGAATAGAAGTAATATTCTATAGTTTGGTTTGTAAGGGTTAGTTTTTTTTTATGAGCTGATTTCGGATTGATATTAGTCAGAGAACCATTGAAAACAATCAGGATGTACTGGATAGCTGTTTCATCCCACTAGTTTGGGAATCATCGGGAGTACGCACCCACCACCAAGGTTCGAACTCAGAACCTTCCGGTTACAAGGCAAGCTGGCTCGTATACCATTCAGCCACTGGGACCCGATTCAATGACCATTCCATGAATTCTAACTTCTACCAATTCTTGATTTAGCACGACCCCAACCATCGTTGTCGGTGAGACATCCATCATCACACGTGACATCTGGATGAACTTCACTGGTCACGACTTCTCACTAGAACTTCAGAAAACTCCATCTTGTAGCAATTCACTGGCGAGCATCAGATTAATATTCTATAGAATGGCCATTGAATCGGGTCCCAGTGGCTTAGTGGTATACGAGCCAGCTCGCCTTGTAACCAGAAGGTTCTGAGTTCGAACCTTGGTGGTGGGTGCGTACTTCCGAGGATTCCAAAACTAGTGGAATGAAACAGCTGTCCAGTACTTCCTGCTTTTTTCAATGGCTATCTAACTGATATCAATCCGTGATCAACTCGTAAGAATAGAAGTAAAATTGGTTTCTTAAAGGTTGAGATTACGATTACAGACAGACTGAGATTACGATAATCGTGGACGCCGATTTTCTATGTTGTTGAAATTAAATGTTATAGCTTAACGCTTCGTTGGAACTATCACTTTATCTAGTGAAGCTATGGCTAAAGATATATGTTAACAATTTACAATGTAATGATTGTGCTGAGTGGTTCATATTTCCAAGCAGTTTGTATGAGACAGTTTTGCCGAAAAGGGGATCAGATTGTTCAGTGGAATATATGTTATATTCATCAGTAAAGTCTTCCTCGTGTAGAGATAACATTCATCGGGATAACTTCTCTCGAGGGTCTCATGGTGTAACTAATTAATACAAGACTCATGTGCAATAATGTATCACGGGTAACTTTTGGACAGTTTGAAGAACCGTTGGTTCAGTCATACTGGACTATTCGTTGAGATGCGATATTATAACTGAATTACCATGGTTGGTAGCATAGCATATAGAGTAAATGCTGTGGGGTAAGATTCATCATGGCTTGTTCACCACCAATCAGCCTACCCTTCAAACAGTTATATAGGTGAAGGGAAAGAAATCAAAAAGTCAAAAGTACTGACTTCACAACGTTGTTTCGACAGGAAAACAAATCACAACCAGATGCATTCGAAAAGAAACTAATGGAACATGGGTATCAGTAATTCCGAAGAACCTTCGTCGTGAATTACTTCAAGAATGCCACCAACAATACCATAGAGATATTGCAAGAACATACAATATTATGGATTAACGTGTGTACTGGCTCCCTAAGTGTGTCCTTGCGTGCTCACAGTGCATTCAGTCACGGCTATAAACTATTCCAGTAACATCAGTAAATGACTCTTAGTTGCTTCTGTCAAACATCTTGCAACAGTCAAGATCAGTTGGTAATAACAGATTGCCCACCCGGTTTAATAGATGCGATTCCATGGCACCACGATAAGTTTATAACTTAGGTGGTAATTAAATACGTTTTTGGAGACCATCTTGTACCGAAGATGATACTAACAGATTGAAGCCCCATGTTTTTTTTATGGTGAAGGATTGAAGACTTGATTGGAGCAGCTAGATATTAAGAGAAGACTGTGACATGGCAAGAGAAATGGCTTAACAGGAAGAAATAACCTCACACTATGAGGGGATAACTAGCAACAAATTGCGGCGCCTGGTAGGTTAACTTGCTGTTGATAATACTTACACATTGAACCCCCAATTCAGAGGTTAGTGGAGAAATTGTCATCCCAGCTAATGTATGGTAGGTACCCACAACTCTGCACGTGCGCCGTATAACTTGGCAACCACAACGTTGTTAGGACATAACAAGATGGACAAATAAGAGGAAACAGGGCATCCAGAATTCTCAAGGAAAAGAAAAGGTGGCTGAGAAAGCTAGAGAGAGAGAGAGATAAAGTATGAAATGGGAGGTTAGACAAAAGTATGTAACCAATAGGATCATGGAGTGAGGTGGACCCAAATTAAGAAAGCGATAAGAACTATATTTATGGTGACATTGGAAAATAGATCAGTTTACAGTATAAAGAAAGAGGGCAAGGTAAACACCAGTCAGCTGAACCGATGGATAAATTGATATTGAGAAGGGACCAGATGTGACACCAGCGTGCCGCGCTCCATAAGGCTGCAAACAATGAGTGTATGAATATGGAGTTGTGGGCGTAAAATGAGGTCCTCAGAAGCAGATATTAGTCGTAGGGTGAATAACGTCTTCTGACTATCAATAATGCGATAATGTGTATTGAACATTCTGGAGCTTGGTGCTTCCTATTAATTGCTTCTAAACGCCTGTCAGCGAATATTATGAATTAGTTGGGGGGAGACAGTCATGTGGTGGTTATAAGGATCTATTCACAACTAGCATTTCAGAAGAAATTATTTTAAGAGGCTATTTGTTGAGATGAATTAAAGCATCACCGATCACTGGGGAGGAAATGCAGGCACATCTGCTTGGCAGGTCCCAAGTAGAATGAAATGCACATCTTGGACTCTACTGCCAGTCACCATCCATGAAATTACTGTTACTTCTTATAGTGGATCAGTTTTTAGGTTGAAAACTGTTACATTATTTGGAAGAAATCTGTAAGTAGTCTTGTTTGATGCAAATTTCGTAGTCATTGTCATGTACAAATTAATTGTGTCTTCCACGTCTGTTTTTCAGTAAGATAGCTACTTTGGCTATGATGGATTTATTGTAAGACAGTACTGAATCAACTGACTGTCATCGCGATGAACTGGACAATGCACTTGTTATTTTCCAACTAGTGTTCTGTGGTTTTCTGTTGTGCTAGGGATTCATAGAAGCAGTCTTTCAGAGGAATTTTTTGCATAAAACCATCTTTATCTATCGAAACACAAACTTAGTACATCATGGACGCCAAGGGATGTGCCACACAAAATCGCATAGTCTGTGCGAGGGCTGGCATAATCAGACAAGAATAGATAATTGCTTTTAGGAGTCACCCCCCCCTGAGCCTTCTAATTGAATCTGGTTCATAAGATATTAGAGCACTGTCAGCAGCTACGTTACCATGGTTGCTAGTGACCGGAACAGGTTCATACGCCATTCCAAACATTCGGATTTTGGGATGCATGTACACCATAGTTTCGTAATAATTGTTTCCAGCTCTCCTAGGTGTCTACCAGTCCGGTTTTAACCGCCAGATTTTCACGTTCGCCCTACCACTTTTGTTATAAACACCTTCCGTGTAGGCAGTGAATAGGAGTTGCATGATAGAGGCTATGAACACGTGGCTACATGGGAGGATTCGGGGAAGAAGACCGAATTCTATCCACCCTCCATTGTAACAGATATTTTACGGGGGCCAACTTGCAGTTATCTGATTAGCGGTGGCTGGTTAGCAGTGAAACCGAGGAGATGTGTTTCGTCCTGTTTGTTGAGGCTTGTCATCTGGATATACGTGCATTCCCAATCATAGATGGTTTACGAACTGAAACTTTAACTCATCATCAAAATAACTTCAACAAATATTAATTATAACTCCACGATGAAGCCGCTAAGGTCTAAGTAGCACCATCAGCCCACAATAATTATTACTATCATTGCTATTCCCCTGGATTCCGGAGTGGGACATAGGCATTCAATGGCTCATCTTCATTCATCCTGTTTTCTTCAGCTCTCTTTATCTGGCTCCACGATTCCCCCATAAGCTCTTCTCCCCACTCGATCTCCATGTCACCACCGGACCCATGCCCAACTTATCATCATTCCCCGTTGGGGTTCCACTCGATCTCAGTGTGCTCCCTATCCATCTCCATATTCTTCTGCATAGATGTTAGGCGATAGGTTCTTGATTGACTTGTTCCTAAAGTTTTTTGTTTCTAATTCCTTCTAGCCATCTGATCTCTAATACGAAGCGGAGCCAGCTGTCGGTAGAAGGTCTGCAATGGTCTGCTGGAAATGCTTTTAACGACGAGCTCGGCAAGTCTCTGACCCATATAGAAGAACTGACTTACTTACCACTGGGTGTTGTGAATCTGAATTTTGTCGTGTATGCTGAGTGTAGAAGATTTCCCATGTGATTTTGGAGTGATGAAGGTTTGCCTTGCTTTTCTGATCTTGGTTTTGACACCGCCATCCGATCTATGGCCTGTAGGTGGAACGATACTGCCCTCCTCCCCCCCCCCGGAGATAAGTAAAGAATGTCGTCCGTTTCAAATTTCTCCCATCCATATTGATCAGTGCATATGAAGGTGTAAGAAAAACATATTCTCCGTAATTTCTTCTTTCGAACCCCGGACAGTCTATTCTTATAAATATAATAATAATAATAATAATTTGCTTTATTCCAGAAACAGTACTTACGGTACAGTGTGGAATTTTCAGCACTTATCTACAATGTTGGATCTAACTTTTATCAGACATTTAAAAGGAGTATTTCAAAAAATAAATAAATATAAAAAACAATATCAACAAAAGCCAAAAAACACAAAATAGCCAAGAAAATGCGGAAAAAATACCAAAAAGTAGAATGGAAAAAATAAACAACATAATAAATAATATCTCAGTATTGGGTAGTGGAAGCTATGATATGTGTATGCGTCGTGGACAGTAGAAGCTATAATCATACAAGAAGTTATGAAATGCTCTTAAGAATGTTTATCGCCATGATGACCAGTTAATTTGATTGAACTACACTAAACAATCATAAAATAAACATTTCAGGGTTTTATTGTCAGCTCTGATGCGGTGTTTGTAGTGGTAGTGTGAGTAATTATGCATAATACAAAAATATTAGGATGGTGACAACGGCAACATTGTCAGTTGAATAGTGCCGAACAAAAAACAACCACAAAACTAATATTACATGATGGTTAATGACAGGGCAATTTTGTAACATTCATAGTGCTAATATAGTCGGAACCAGTAGATACACAAAAAAAAGGAATAGAGTAAAGTACAAAGAAAAGTAAGTCAATGTTAGCAATTTAGGTAGCTAAGTATGTTTAAGAAGGTTGTTCACTATAGAATACAAATAAGAGAGAAATAAAAGAGGCAAAATTATGTTATTAACAACAAAGCAATTCATAGGTTTCGCACTTAACATTGTCTCTGTCTCACTTAGAACACGGGCTGGCCAAATATGGTATCTTTGAGTTCCAATACTTGGTTGTACGAGCATATATATTATTTTGTACTGATTTCTGGTTCTACCTGATGAGATGCAAGGAGAGAGTTGGGAATAGAGGGGGTGTTGGGGGTCGGAGAGTATGGTTTTAGACCATTTTTCGCATATATTCACATGCCTTTCTACTAATGTATTACACAATGATTTTTGGAAACCTTTTCTTATCTCACACAATTATTTCTTTTGTTGTTGTTGTTCTTGTTCTTCTTCTTTATCCTCTTTAGGTATGTAATGATGAGTGTAGTCAAAATAGCCTACATTATTTATTAGCGCTATGGCAACGTTTAGTTGCCAGTATCCCGTATGTCCATCCACCTGATTCACATCTACTAGATACTGTAACCCCTCAAGTCGTTAATGCCTATATACAATCATGCTTGAGCACTATACCAAATTATATGAATCAGGCTAGTATACATATTAGTCGTGAATCAATACGTTCTGAGAAGAAATCCACAGAATTCAATGCATATTCTTCATGGTGTACTGATACACTATCGAAACCAATGTATGCCAATTGTTTTGTATCTAGCAATCAGAGCCGTAATCATAATCATCATAATAATAATAATTGTGGTAGTAATAATACGTGTACAAATGCAAATATTTCTGAAGAAGTAGAAGAAGAGAATAATTTATCCTTGAAAAGTGAATGCCTACTTGACGACTGGATAACACTTTCACAACAATTAGATCGGGTAAGTAGTAGATTGTTTTCAATGCTTTTGTTTTTACAAAGTTTTTTAATTGTTTGGTTACAGGATTTCATCATGAGCTGACATTGGTTAGAGGACCTTTGGAAAACCAGCTAGGAGTACTGAACAGATGTTTCGTCCTAGTTTGGGACTCTTCAGCAGTACGTACCCACCGCTGGACTACTTCAACTCCTAGCTTAGTGATAGGGAGTGAAGTGATAGAACATATTGACCACTTCACCTATTTGAGAAGTTGTATTAGCACCAACGGACTGATTGGCGACGAAATCTCAGCACGGATCCAAAATGCTCGAGCTGCTTTCGCTGACTTACACCATCTCTGGCGTAGGCCTGCATCCGGCTGTCAACCAAGGGACGTGTGTACTGCTCACCAGTTCGCTCCGTCCTTGTCTATGGCTCTGAAACATGGCCAATACGCGTTGAAGACATGAAAAGGTTGACTGCTTTCGATCATAGATGTCTGCGATCTCTTTCTCACGTTAGGTGGTGGTATTATAAGGTAAGTAATGTTGACGTTAGGCGTAGAGTGTTGGGCGAATAGGGGAAATCAATCGAGGAGGCTATAAAGTTACATAGATTGAGATGGCTAGGTCACGTGCTGTGCATGCCTAACCATCGCCTCCCCCGACGGGCGTTAATAGCTGATATAGGTGGTGCAGGTTGGAAAAGAGTAAGTGGTGGCCAAAGAAAAACACGGCCTCATCAATCCATGAAATCCTTGACAGTTGAACTGAGTCGGTCAGGTAGGGAGATGTAGACTTCTGGGGCCCTCGGGACTCTAGGAAACAATGGCTCAAAATCGTTGTCAATGGCCAGCGCAGATGTATTCAGTCTCTGTAATCTTTCATATTCCTTTCTACCATTAACCATTCTGTTTCGCCCTTATACTTGTCAGACTCTATTGATTCTCTTGACTCATCTTCTTGTCTACCTTTGTGTGCTATTTGGAACGTGGCAACTTGAAGTGCTACACTTCGGTGCCAAGTTCTATGTTGAATCCAGACAGACAGACGTACCCACCGGGGTTCGAACCCAAAACCTTCTGGTTACAAGGCGAGCTCGTAGACTGTTGAGCCACTGGGACCCGATCCAATGGCTCATGAATTTCAACTTCTGCCATTTCACGATATAGCGCTAAAAGCAGGCGTGCTCATGATGCATGCCAAAGCATCACCTTGTTATTGTTATCATTATTATTTTTTTTTTTGCGTTCCGAATGGAACATAGGACTTCAACACCAGCACATCTCCACCTTGTTCTGTCTTCTGGCATCCCCTTCAGCTGGGTACGCAATTGCCTACAATCTCTCATCTCCTTTTCCTCCTCCTCAAACGACCTCCTCTATGTCACCCTCGCACCGACAACCATCCACTTGTCACTTCCCATGTGGATTCCACTTGGCCGATGGCCTGCATTGCACCCGATGTCATTCGATGGTCTTCTCAATGTATGCCCGAATCATCCATCTATCTCCATTTTCTCCAACATATTTGTTGAACGATCGGCTCTTGCTCTGTTAGTTTCTTCCCAGCCAGAGTTTGGTGTTACTAATTCTTTCTGTCCAGCTAGCCATTCGATCTTCACTATAGAGCAAACGAAGGTGGCATCTGTTGATAAAAGTCGGCCATGGCCTGTTTGAATTCCTTTTCGTGATATGCCGTGCAAGTTTCTGACCCATATAGAAAGACCGACTTGGCATTGGTGTTGAAAATCTGAATCTTGTTCCTTATGCAGAGGTGGAGTGCAGAAGATTTACGACCTAGTTTCAGGTCGATGAAGGAGTATCTAGACTTTCCGATTCTGTCTGGTTTTTGAGATCTTCATCCTTTCCAATGGCCTGTAATTGAAACAGTGTTTCCGAGATAAGTGAAGGAGGTAACCTCTGTTAAATCTCTCCCTTTGACGGTGATTGATGCAAGTTAGCTGTTGGTGTTGTCGATTAATATTAGCCGACATAGGCTGAAATTGGCTAATGAGTTATATAGGCTATCAATTCATGAAGTCTTTGACTGCCGGTTTGTGCCATGTTGATGAGAGGTGTAGAATGTTTGATTGGGGTCGTCAAGACGCCCTAATAACCAGTGGTTGGCAACTGTTGTTGGCCTGAAAGTCATTCATTCTCAGTTGTACGGATCCGTCAATTCTTTGTGATCTCCTAGATATAGATCTATTAAAATCTTATTATTCTCCGTGTAATTAGTCTTTCTGTTGTACATTTCCGTTTATGAATAGTTTTCAGATTCTGGTAAATTGAATTGCTATCCTTTATTTTGTAGACTTGTTGTGCGTTGGAATTACAGTTAGTTAGTTAGTTAGTTAGTTAGTCAATCAATCAGTTAAAATTAAACTTCGCGGTTAATATTTGTTGAAAAAAATAGTTAGTTTGATATAAGAAAAGGTTTGTAGCTCAGGATGAAGTTGGAGCATATTTTTGATGTTCTCCAATACCATTTATATTGTATCATGAAAATTTCATCAATAGGCTGTGTGTAATTCAGGAAGTATAAATTATTGATTGATGTCCATATGATAGGAAACGGCATTGATTCGTGAATAGAGGACTGTTAGTCTAAACGACTGTGCAAACTCCATTGGGTGTTAAAAGTAAGGTGTGTGTGTGAAGTGTAGGTAAAGTAAAGTAAAAAGTAAACTGGATTCTGGGAGATAGACCGTTTATTTTCTCCAAGAATGAACTGTGCAGATCTCGTTTAAGCACTATAAAAGTATCATCTACATATTTGAACTATGTATTATGAATGAGTATGCTTGAAAAGATTTTATCTTCGAATCTATTCATGAAAAAGTCAGCGACTATTATCGAATCCAACAGTCTACACCTGGTTTTGTTATCTTTACCAATTGGCCAATTTGACAACGCAAAATTGCCCCCATACTGAGGAACGATGATTAAGTTGTTATATATATATATATATATATATATATATATATATATATATATATATATATATATATATATATATATGCTGAGTGGATTTTGTAAATTCTGGTTTAACAATACTACTTTGATAAAGCTATTATCAGTAGCATTAAATAACGAAACGTCAGTGAAAACAGCAATATCATTTTGTTTTTCATTCATTGGAAAATACTAGAAACCTTTAATATAAAGATGAAACAGTCGTTCGGTGTTCAGATCACTTCGATCTTGTTGGCTAGCAAGTATTACTACTTGATTGAGTGGATTTTATCTACTCATATCAGTGAATCAGTAGTATATAGACGTCAGATTGATTTTTGTATATATATATATATATATATATATATATATATATATATATATATATATATATATATAATAGTGTTTTCTTTGACTTCATATCACGTGACTAGCAAGTATTTAAATGTGAAAGAATGCAGACATACTCTGTCTGAATAGCTAATTCAATTTTTATATAATAAGAGTAGACATGTAACAACAGAAGACAAGGGCCGGCAACAGATCGTTTTATCACTGAAATCAACACGTATTTATATATATTTCCTGTACATTATTATAGCTTATTCAAGTAGACAAACGCAGTCTTCTGATTGGTTGTTTCTCAGAAGTTAAGCAGACAAACGCAGGCTTCTGATTGGTTGTTTCGGGTAACCATCGAAAAGTAGAGCCATCTATCTGCGAATCATATTTGCCCACGTTAAGTTTGCTGTGATTGATTGTTGAATCAGCCTTGCTCATATTTTCTCACGGCCAATATTAGTGACCTAGACATTGACGTAGATTAATGTCTACCAATTGGCTAGCAGCCTGCTCTCACCACAAACATATTATGAAAACAGAGATCACCTTAGATATTGCAAAGAGATGAATTCCCTGGAGTTTATAAGGTCATTCAGACATCAGAGTGTTCAGGCGGTTTCATGATCATGTGTGAAGGCTTATTCAGTTAAGCAGGAAGAGATCAGTGATAACAGTGTGGTATTGATTAAAAATTTGTATGAAGATAGATGAATGCAGCTCTAAATGTTCATAAAGTGCTTTATCTATTCATCACCTTAAAAGATTATGTATGATATGTTGATCTGATGTCAACTTCTACCAACCCGGTGGAGAGATTTGGCGCTGCTAAATGAAGCTAAACCTCTAAGACGGAGATTCTTCGGCACGTGTTCAACCATCTTAGTAGAATAGCTATCTTTCCGTTTTCCCGTTTACTCGCTTACCGCACCCACATGTGAATTCATAAACACAGTTGGAGTTTAGTTTAGTTTGAATTGTTTTTTCAAGGTTATAATTTCACCACCTTCCCAAGATTATCCCATCTCCGGTATCGAGGGATACAGGTCTTGTGTGTGTTGTCGTATACCGTTGTCAAGCTTTTGTTTAGCTATTTCCCGCATGTCGTGTCTTTTGAATGGCAGACTGATTTATTCAGGTTTTCTTAAAACTGTGGGGAAAGTTTTCGTAACTTCCGCGCATCGACAATACTTGTTAGTGAATCTTTCAGGATAGATATATCCTCCAAAGTGTTTGCTTCATGGGTGGGATCAGAGATAGTGTTTGCTTCAAAGCATTTTCACTGAGGCTGTAATAATTTCGCATAACGACTGAGTTACCTTGTGACATGCTGGATTTGTTGTCATTGATACTGTAGGTTATATATGTGGTCAACGGTAGCTTGAGTGATTCGTATACTGTAGACAATCCTTTGGTTTATTTTATAGAACCAAATCACTAGTTACAGTTGTTGGATTTTCATCACAAACCAACATGGGTTAAAGAGATCGATGAAATCTAGGGAGAGCTGAACGGCCGTTTCGTCCTATTCTGGAAATCTTCATCAGTGCGCCAGGTGTCGAACCTGCGTCCTTCAGATTACGGGACTAAACTCGTTGACTATTCAGCTACTTGGTCTGTAATTCACTGACCCTTGAATTCTAAATTCATCAACTCGTGATGTAGAGCTGCCCACAACAATGTCTTCGACCGGCATCTACGTGTCATTTTAAGATGGTGGATCCCACTGGTCATGACTTCCCACTGTAGCTTCAGGAAATCCATCCAGCAGTCATCAGAAAACTAATTGCAGTTATTAGATTTTCGTCACCAACCAACGTCGTCAGCTAGAGAGGGATAAATGGAAACCAGAGAGCACTGGAATGTTGTTTCGTCCTATTCCGGAAAGTCAATGCGCACCCACGACCCAGCCAAAGATCTAATCTGGGACATTCTGGTTATGACTGTTATGTTTTTTCACCATTCCAATCTGAAAATCATTAGTAATTTACACAGAAAACTTCACTACAATTGTATTGACCTTCTCAAACTAATTCATTGATGTCAACTGATTTATGGTGGGTAGACTTAGATAGTATATTAAAGGGAAATAACAAACATAATCTAGATGCTTCATTTCCTACCTACCCCACTAAGTTTGAATATCACTTCTCCACCTACTTGGGCTTTAAGCAATCAGATTGCGTCATTAGGCTTCACACATGTAGGTGTGACATATTATTATTGCCAGCTTGGATTGCATAAGATGCGTAATTACATTTCCATTTTCTTGTGTAAACGGAAACAACACTCCAAGTTGCTAATTATAACATAAAGGTGATCATTGATATAAGAATAAAACTTGTGCACTGTGGTAGAGCATAAATTCCATTATGGGTAAAATTTGTTTTGATATAGTTTCACAGTATTATTCAGTAATGTTTACTGATGACCACGTTTCGAGCACAATTTATTACTGCTCATAATCATATCAAGGTACTCACATGACTTCCTAACTTCATTTATATGGTTCCATTATTTTTCATTTGATTTTCGCTTGATTTGATTGGTATTAGTATTTTCCATATTTTGGGTATGAGTGATGAATCATTCCTATTGCATGTGTTGGGTGTAGACTCGATGAAGAAGGATTCAGTAATCAACTTCCCTCTTTCCACCAACCTATATCACTTTTTAGAATTTAACCCTTCCCCACCCTATCGTGTGGTTGTGTGTTAATGCATGCAGCGCAATGTAGTGCTGAGCTTTTTTCTAAATTACTTATCTTCGCGAGTTGGGTCAACCATTCTTACCTTAGCTAAATTCTTATGTGCCGACAGCCTGACTACCCCTGACCTACTAGTTTGACCTATGTAGTTGACCTAACTCACAGTCATTGCAGGGTATTTTGTAAATTATATTATTTTGTCTGATAAGGTCCATTGGGGTCCTTTAACCTACAGAGCTTGTCCCTGAGTGAGTTTGTAGGTTTAAATGCCACTCTAATTCCTGATTTATTTAGAATCCTACGTAGGGTCTCAGATGTCTCCTCCTTATATGGTGTAACAGTAGATGCCTTATATTTTCTCTTATTTATGTTATCATTACTAGTTCCACAAATATTTTTCTTTTGCTCTTGACCCTTTCTGATCTTCCTAATGAATTTTATAGGATAGTTATTTAACACAATCGTTTCTTCTATCTGTTTTATTTCATCATTTAGGTCTTTTCTTGTGCTACTTAGTGCTATGGCTCGGTTTGTTAGACACTTCACTAAGCCTGCCTTAACAGACAACGGATGAGGTGAATTAAAGTCTAAATATCTATTAGAATGCGTTGGTTTTCTATAAACACTAGTGTGTAGTTCACCTTCTTCTATTCGTTTTATTTCACAGTCTAACATAGCTAATTCTCCTTGTTCATTTTCCGATCCAAATGTGAATTTTATTCCCTTTACCAGTGAGTTTATGTGTGTGTGTGTGTGTATGAAGAAGCTAGAGGTGTGTTCTGTTTTTAACAGTGTGTGTGTGTGTGTGTGAAAGTGTCATCCACATATCTCCACCATATTTTTGGAGTAGGATTAAACGTATTAAGAGCATTACTTTCCCAGCTATCCATAAATAAATCTGCTACAATAGGGGATATTGGTGATCCATCTCATTGCTACATCTTCTGTTTGTCTACATATTTTACCTTGGAATTTAAAGATATTAGATGTGAGGCATAACTGAATTCCTAAAATAATTTCTTCAATGGGCAGCTTTGTCCTATGATTCAGTTCAGGATCTGCAGCTTGTTCTTTTTTAACTGTTTCTAAGGCTGCCATATTGATTGGTATGTTAGTATAAAAACTAGCTATATGAAAACTAACCATTGTTTCATCATTCTCTAGTGGTTGAATGTTATTTAGTTTATTTTTCATCTCATATTTCTGTCTGTCTCTCTCTTTCGACATAGAACTTTGCACATATGTGCGGCAGTTCAAGTCGCCCGACTCCACTCCTTGTAGCACACAAAGCAAGAGAAGAAAGTAGAAGAAATGCACAATAGAGACAGTAAAAAGAAGTGTGAGACAAAGGAATAGTAATAACTAAGAACAATATACTTTCATTGGAAATCATAAGTCACAAGGAGTGGATGCATCTGCACCAGCCATTGAGAACGATTATGAGCCATATCACCAATTGTTTCTAACCATTGGTTTTTACTGTCCCGAGGACCCCAACCAATCAGGAAGTCTACACCTTCCTACGTGACTGGCTGGCTTTAATTAACTGTTGTGGATTTCATTGACTGATGAAGCTATGTTTTGGTTTGACTTCCGCTAGCTCTTTTCCAGCTTGACCCTATATCAGCTAACATTACCCATTGTCGAGGAAGGCGATGACTAGACATGTGTCGTAACACATGTCCTAACCATCTTAATCGATGTAACTTCACAGCCTCGTCGATTGATATCCCCTCCTTACATAGAACTCGACCAAAGCCTAACCTCAATATTGCTCACCTTATTATACCACTTCACACGGGGGATAGAGCGTAGGCACCTATCATCAAAGACAACTAGCTAGGCTTTTCATGTCTTCCACTCTCAATGGCCAGGTCTTGCTCACAGCCATCTCATATGAATTAAATAGCCGAGAGTTTGAAGGATTTCTAAGGGTGATCGTCACATGATTATATTCTGTGTTTGAATGAATATGTTGAATTCGTTCACATTTTATTTTATACAAATTTGATTTATCTTCTATTTCATCTTTTTTATTTATTATAATAATACACAGTTCGGAACAATTGGACGATGTGAATATGAAAAAACGTGTAGTATTATTATTCCCTTGTTTGATGAATATGCTAGTAGTTTGGAGAAAGCTTTCAATATATTAACTTCAAATAGCAATAATAATAATAGTGGTAATATGACAATGAATGATTCTCATTTAGAACATGTTTTACGCCTAGAAGAACATCGTTTAGCTTGGCTTGTATATATGGTTGGTAAGTTGTTATTGAAAGTTGTCATTTCTCGTCACCATTCAATTATCTATTCGTAAATTAATGTTATTGACTATAAATCTCAATAAACTTGGTTTAAAAAAAGCACAATTAGCTGTTCCATCATAATTTAGAAGTCTTCACAGGTAGATGAGTGAGTGTACACCTGAAATGTGTTTGCTAAAAGCAAAGATACGCACTGAACTTGTGCGTGACCACATATAACCCAGAGGTCGGTCATGCAAGTCCTGTTCAAAGTGGCTTTTGAAGATCTCACTTCTGATTGTGAACTGCCTCAGAATAAGTTGGGATGTAAAAACTTTTCTTGTCGACATTTTCTAATCTCCTTCTACAGAGGACAGAGTCAGCAGAGCTGATTTGCGGGTTATTTGAGGGAGGGAAACACCATTTACATCCCTATTTGCCAGCGGTACGACTTTGTCCTCAAACTCCCAACATATTTTGATCGACCTATCGTACAATAGTGAATAGTTTTTGTTTAACTGTTGTCTGTCATGCCGGGACACGCAGGAACAGTTGTTCCAGCGAGTGTAGGTTGTTGAGTAATTGCATTATATAAATTCCCGCCATCACCACTTCAAGGTTAACTGTTATCAGTTGCGAAAAGTTGATGTAAAAAGTTTATTTTCGACTTTATGTTTCTTCTTTACATTTCTTGCGTAAAATGGAACCAATGAGTAAGTAATTATTTTTGTTATCTATGAGTCCTCAGAAAAGACTTAGTGTGGGGTCTATTGTGAGTAGACTGGGGTCCTTCTGTCGAAGTGCCTTCATGTGGCTACACATTCATAGCCTTTGTCAGGTGAATTACAAACACTTTTGTCACGTAGAGTAGATTGTGAAAGGTTGAATTCGGAATGTTCAAGGAGACGTGGCTTACTGTCTTATTCACTCGAATTTTAGTCAGGAAGTCACAGGTTCGAATCTCGTCCCACCTATTTCAGTGTGGGTGGCTTGGTAGTATGATCATACAATAAATTCGTGTCGTCAGCAACTGCATTTAAATTATAGATTTCACCACAAATCAGCGACGTAGGTGTAAGGAGTTTTGGAGACGTAAACGTGTGTTTCGTCCCAGCTTGTGACTCTTCAGTGATGTCTACTCATGGATTTCAGGTTACGAGGTGAGGACGTTACCATTCAGTCATTAAAACCGAATCCGACTGCTCATGAGTTTTCCTGTTCTGCGAATTTTCACGGTATAGCGCCATTACCATCTGGTGTCATAAATAAGTTTCTTTTCTCACAATTCATCATGACTTCTCATTAAAACTCCAAAAATTTCAAAGTAGGACAAAACATTCGTTTAGTACTTCCTGGTTTTAAAATATTCTCTTACTGATGTATGTTGATGATGAAAAAACGTAACTGCAAACCAATCCAATCTGTACAAAGCACCACATGGAAAATAAATAATTTGCCTCAATATAAATGTGAAACAGACCTCACTGCTATTTTACTACGTTTCTGCAAAACCATATACACCATAATATTTGTGTGTATATGAAAAAAAATATGCTATCTGCTACTCGCGTCTTCCCATTAACACCCTAATGTTTAGTGTTCCTTGATTTTTTGTTTTGAAGTCACCCAATAGAATCAATCCAAGTACCTATAATGTTTCCTTCAATTGTTTGTGTTTTCGCTTTGATCGAGCTCAAGCTATCTTGTTCGCTTGGATTCAGTTACCCAGTACTGGTCTATGAGCCCTTCTTATTATTGTGCGAAGGCGAATGAACAATTCTCATTGGTGGCTAAACTGTGGACTACTCACCGGCCACACATGAGGTCTGGGTTCAATTACCACCACCAGATGCTCTCCTAAATCTCGCTTAGTCCCGGTAGTAAGACCTGAATAGAAGGGAGGTGAGTCGTTAAGCTATCCACCTAACCATGTAAAACAAAAAAACCCTCCGCAACTGGAACTTGAAAGCCTGGAGTTTTATATTCCACTAGGAACTCAAAGGAATGAGAGAAAAACCCGTTCACAGCCTAGTCTGGTGCAGAACTTCTGATTGAGTCTCCACGGCGGGTTGTGCTCGAGTCGTAGCTTATTGATATACATATATATAAACGCTCGAGAGTACATGACCTATCGTGAATACACTTACATATAAATAAACGGCTTGATTGGAGGTCTATACATAGTCTATGGTTTAACCGAGAGTGTGTTATGCACATTATCATTTTTACCCTAACCTCGGATCAGATGTAAATTCCCGCTAAAATTAAGCATATCGCTAAGCGGAGGAAAAGAAACTAACAAGGATTCCCCTAGTAACTGCGAGTGGACAGAGATTAGCCCAGCACTGAATCCTCTGGTTATTTGACTGCAAGGCAATGTGGTGTTTAGGTTTGTTCTTGGCATTACTGCTCTTCCCCAAGTCCAGCAATCAGTACGGCATATCGTTCTGGACCAAAGAGGGTGAGAGGCCCGTGGGGGTAGAGACCAAACGTAACAGTTTTGTCCAGAGCTAATCTTGGAGTCAGGTTGTTTGAGAATGCAGCCCAAAGCCCTAGCACCGACACCTGGTTCCTGAAAGTCGAGCTCCTACGCCGATCTACACTTTAATTCCTTGTTTTTAATTTATTTTTTTTTAATTTTGGCTACTTCTTGTTTTTTTTTCATTTCAAGGCGCATTAATTAGTGGTCGTGTAGGTTATGTTGATGCAGAAAGTGAATGTGATGGAGAATTAATCTGTCGTGTACTGCAATTGGTTCGATTGACTACAAACTTTATTACATCGTATACGCCTGCTGCATCAGCTATATCAAATCATCATACAAATGGTATGCTGACGACAACAACAACAACTGCTGCTATCACTCAATCACCAAGTATGATACGCTTGGAATTAGCTGTATTACGATTCTTCGAACAACTTCGACGTGTATATATTGGTGAAAATGTCGGTAGACTGTCTAAGGTAATGATTTCTTCTGCTTTACCTTCCGTTTTCATCAGAGAACTTCTTGTTGATTCGCATTTATGACTATTTATATATGATAGAGAAGATTTGTAGCTCAGGTGGATGATTTTGATGAGATTGTGTTCTCTGAGCTGGCTGGATAGTTAATTTGCGAAGCTTTCATCGCCCTACTTACTAGGCGACATCTTCAGCGCATGCTTCAATTTGCTGAGGTGAGCTTTCAGATTTCTCCATGAGTTTATTAATCATCTCTCCTGGTGGGTTACCTTGGACGTGATTGGTTCTTTGTGTGTTTTCACACCTTCTAGGCAGCTACTTGTATTGGAACTGATTGTTTCTTTGACTTGAACTTTGACCCTTTTTGTGTATGTGTGTGAGGTTTCTTTCTTATCGGTTGATAAATTTTATCCATCTAGAGTGTCTATTGATTGATGATTCACTGGAATGCCAAGCTTCTAAAAATTGTCTAGCATTCTTGTTGTTTCCTCTGTCTAATATTTGAACGCTCTTTGCCCTAGTCGAATTGATGTCCGTGGTTGTCTGTGTGTAGTGAAATGAGGGAGTGGATATCATGTCTTTTGACGGCTAGCTTATGTTCGTGGATACGAAGACGAAGGGGACGTCCACATTTGCCAATGTAGTGTTTTTCGCAGTTGTTACAATTTATTTTGTAGATGATGTTGTTTTTATCTTCTTTCGTTGTTGAGTATTTTGGTTGACATAGAATTGATTGAAGCGACTTCGTCGGTTTGTGTAGGACGTCAATTCCTAAAGGTTTGAAGAGTCTTGTAGTGATTTCTGAGATGTTCTTTATATATGGTAAGACGATTTTCTTTGTGCCTTCTTTGGGGGCTTTTGGTTTGATAGGTTGGCTTGGGGGTATATGTCTTTTGATGAAGTTACGTGGATATCCATTCTTTTGGAAGACGTCCATGAAATATTTTTCCTTAATTTTCCTTAAGGTGGGAGTGCTGCAATGAGTCCTTGCCCTCTTGATTAGTGATTGTATGCGATTCCTTGCATACAATCAATAGACACTCTGGATGGATAAAATTTATCAATCGATAAGAAAGAAACCTCACACATATACACACAAAGGGTCAAAGTTCAAGTCAAAGAAACAATCAGTTCCAATACAAGTAGCTGCCTAGAAGGTGTGAAAACACACAAAGAACCAATCACGTCCAAGGTAACCCACCAGGAGAGATGATTAATAAACTCATGGAGAAATCTGAAAGCTCACCTCAGCAAATTGAAGCATGCGCTGAAGATGTCGCCTAGTAAGTAGGGCGATGAAAGCTTCGCAAATTAACTATTCAGCCAGCTCAGAGAACACAACCACATTGAAAATGGTTATTTATATTACTTTACGTTCCGAGCGAGGCAGAGGATTTCAAAATTCAGATTTGAAATTACAGCAGCTGGCCTCGCACCCGACTTTTGCCCTCCACCGCATTTGTTACGAGCTAAGTGAGGTTAAGGACGGTGTTGGCCTGGGACTGAGCCATGTGTGGCGTGGTTGATGAGCATTCCACTCATGGACCACCGACGCACATTCATTTATGATAATTTTATAAAATTATCATCTTGTCATGGGATAAACATCATCATCAGCAGTGCCCAATAACTTTTGGGTATCATTTTTAGATAAAGTATTCGTTTCATAAAGTTTACAAGTCTTTCACTGTGTCAGTTCCACTGATTATTACCAATTTAACTTATGCACAAAAGCGTCAGCATAACTTGCCCGCACTTGGCTGCTTTTCGATCCGCGTCAGAGCAATAGATAGAATCTATCTGGCAAATGGTTTTAATATGATACAAGGATTGCGGGACTTCTATACTGTAGAGCCTTTTAAGGGTGGAACAGTTTGTTGATAAATCCAGTCTCTGAGAGTTATTTATTCTGTTAAGTTGAAATGCAAAGAACTGGTGCATATCTAGTCAATCGGTTTTTTCTAAAATTCCTTTACGTTCCCAGTGGAACATAGGGCTTCAAGTTAGAGGCTTGAATTTTTTTGTAGAAGTGGTGATTATTTTTACAGGTTGGGGTTGCTAGCCTCATATGGCCAACCTTCCCTCTTTACCAGTCTTACTACTGACTTAACGAGGTAAAGGGGTGCGTCAGTGGCCGGGGATTGAACCCCGGACCATCTGCGTGGTCGACGAGCATTCTACCACTATGCCGCTTACATCAACTAGTAGTGCTCGCAAGATCGTAGTGATTTAAGCACACCGGACAGTTGTTTTGCTCGTTCGGAGTCGAACTCATCAGCGACATTCTGCACAAACCACACTGTTTTTCTTCTTTCTTTTCTTTTTTCCTTCACGTTCCACAGTGGAACATAGGGCTTCAAGCTAATGGCTTGAAGTTTCTGTAGCAGTGTTTAGTTTTACAGGATGGGGTTGCTAACCTCATGCCCAACCTTTCTTCTTTACCAGCATTATTTCTGGCTTAGCGAGGTAAACGAGTGTGTCACTGGCCGGGGATCGAACCCCGGAACATGTGCATGGTTGGCAAGCGTCGTAAACTCTATGCCACCGACTCACTGTTGTTCTTGCTTTATTTAAATTCATCAAGGGGAATAATTGCATGAGTTCTGCTAGAGGGACGGATCCTGTGGTACCTAGTCATTGCGAGTGGAAGACATGAAAAGATTAGCTGTCTTTGAATATAGGTGCCTGCGTTCTATCTGCCATGTGAAGTGGCATAATAGGGTGAGCAAGATTGAGGTTAAGCTTTCGTCGAGTTCTAGGTAAGGAGGGGAAATCAATCGACGAGGCTGTGAAATTACATCGACTGAGATGGTTAGGACTAGCCTAGTCATCGCCTTTCTCGGCGGGCAATATTAACTGACACAGGGTCAGGCTGGAAAGGAGCTAGCGGTGGTCAAACCAAAACATGACTACATCATCAACGAAATCCACAACAGTTAGTTTGAGCCAACCACGTAGGAAAGTGTGAATTTCCTGACTGGTTAGGGTCCTCGGGATGGTAAAAATCAATGGCTGGAGAAAATTGGTGGTATGGCTCAAAATCATTCTCAGTGATGGCTGGCGAAGATGCATCCATTCCCTTTGACCCATAATACTCAATAAAACTATATTTTTCTTCGATATCACTATTCATTTTACCTCATATCTCTGTTTACTGTCTCTATTTTGCATTTCTTTTTACTTTCTTCCCTGGCTTCTTTGTGTGATACAAAGAAGGAGTGTGGCGACTCGAACTGCTGTACATCGGTGCAAAGTTCTTTGTTGAAAACAGACAGAAAAAGAGACAGAATAACAACGTGTGAAAACACTCAACGGTCTCCTCAGTGTTTCCCTCTAATCAATCCATCTTTGTTACCTTTAAGCATATTTGTTGGGCAATTGGTTCTTGGTTGTCTGGTTAGTTGCAAGATAGTATTTCTTGGTTTTTTGAAGACTTCGAAGAAGTCGTGACCAGTGGGGTGCAGCCGGTCGGGTGTGAGGACAAATACTCACCGAAGACATTGGCTAGGGATCGCGCTACGTCGTGAATTGGCAGAAGTTAGAATTCATGGGCCATTGGATCGGGTCCCAGTAACTTAATGGCATACTAACTCGCCTTGTAGCCAGAAGGTACTGGGTTCGAGTCCCGATGGGTGCGTACTACTGAAGAGTCCCAAACTAGGACGAAACAGCTGTCCAGTATTCCCGGCTGGTTTTCCAATGGTTCTCTAACCAATGTCAGCTCATGATGAAATCCTGTAAATTTATTTATCCTTACTGTGATTGTTCACGCATTGTTTTTTAAAAAAAATAGTTTATTTTTCTTTTCTAGTTTTATCAATATTTATCGGAGAAATTAGGCATATCAGATGAAATGATGATGCTTGGTGTATTTACAAATAAAATTTTAACTAATTTAAAATATTGGAGTAATTGTGAAGCTGTCCTACAAAGAACACTGAACTTATTATCAGAATTATCAATGGGTTTTAGTGCTATGCGTAAACTTCTACGCTTAGATGATATCCAATTTATGCTTGTTAATCATACAGTAAGTTTTAAAATGAATGATTCAATCCATTTTTATTGTTTTGTTTTGCTTTGCTTTGTTTTAAATTAAGAAAGTAAAGGCGGTTTTTATGAATTTAATGCCTTTTGTGTATGATTTCATTTTTTATCGTGTAAAAATATGTTGTGTACTACACGTTGTGTTTAAATGTTTCACGTATAGCTTATCCATATAGTTCAAGTTATATATGTCCAATTAGAGCATACAAAAGAAGAATGTAGCGACGAAGTCGTCAACATCAGGGTAGAACAATTCCAAAAGTATTTCTGGCTATGTGTCAGAATATTGCTCTTTACAAAATAAATCAGTATAGATGAGGCTGTGAAGTTACATCAACTAAGATGGTTAGGACATGTATTACGAATGTCTAGCCCATCACCTTCCTCGACGGGCAATGTTAACTGAAATAGGATTTAATTGGTGTATGATGACTAGCAGTGGAATCCAGGATAACGCGCATTTCGTCCTATTTGGGACTCGTCAGCTAACTGGATGTACCTGCATTCCCCTGTGAGAGTGATGATGTTCCCACCACGGAGGCTCGAACCAAATGACTATAGTTTCAAACGCCAAAGCGTTATCCTTTAGACCATTTGGGCCACTGCTAGTCACCATACACCGATTAAATTCTAATTACATGCCTAGACATCGTTGAAGCATCTGCATAATAAGCCGACATGTCAACCTGAGGCAGAGCACTGCGGTCCAATCACTCGACGTGAAAATCTAAAATTCAATGAAATAGGATTGATCAGGTTGGAAAAAAACAAGTGGTGGTCAAAGCAAAACATGGCTTCATCAGTCAATGAAATCCACGACAGTTAGCTAAAACTAGTCAAGTAGGGAGGTGTAGACTTCCCGATTGACTGGTTGGGGTCCTCTGGATGGTAAAAACCGATGGCTGGAGACAATTGGTGATATGGACGAAGATTGTTCTCAGTGACGGCTGGCGCAGATGCATCCACTCCTTGTGATTGATAATTTCCAGTAAAACTATATTGTTCTCCCATATTACTATTCTTTTTGCCTCATGTTTCTGTTTTGAATATCCTTTTACTTTATCTTGCTTTGTGTGCTACAAAGCGGGAGTGTGCACCAATGTGCAGCAGTTTGAGTTGCCAAAGTTTTACGTTGGAACCAGTCAGTCAGTCAGTATTGCAACAAAATGTTACATGATACAAATGGGGCTGAGTTTGATGGTGGAACACGTTGAGAATTTTGGGAGTTTTATTGCGTTTTGTTATCTAGCCAACGAGCACGGGGTGTGAACACACACCAGTGGTCTTAAATGCATACCAATCGTTAGATCAAAAGTTCTGCTATTATGAAAGCGCCAGTATGTATACTGTGCACGAATTGAAGTGCGAATTCCATCCAGATCCCGTTTTTTAAGTACTGTTTGAATAATGAGTTGATAGCATATTAGAGTTAAGACATGGATTAGGGGGATTTAATATCATTATTCGGTATTTTCTTTGTAGTTGAATAAACGAGAGTATAGCGGGTCATATCGAGGAAACCGTTTCGATAGGTGTGATACCTGAAAACTGATACCCCATATTTCATTTGAGGAATATTTTTGACCTATATCAGGGTAAAATATCGTCTTCAATATGTGTTTCATTATTACTATCATGTGTATTTTTCTAGAAAATACTCAGCTTTCTCTGATTGGTCACCCCAAGGTCATTGGTGCGTTGGCTCCCTGTGGCCTCTGTTACTTATGCTTTCCTGTTGTATATTCACGAATGTATAGCCTAATTACTGACTTTGTTGAAAAGAAAAACCAGTATCTGTTATGTACTTCTTCAGTTGAAGATATCTTTATGTGACTACTGATGAGTTGCGGGATTCCTGGTTCGTGAAATTAGATGTTACACTATTATACTAATGTTTCGGGTAATACAAATGATTGTACAAATCATTTGTGAAATGAACGAATGAGTAGTCAATGTGGCAGAATAATTCTTATGTGTTAAAAAAGCAAGAATTCTTCTCTAGTTTACATCAACTACATGCGGTGGAAGTTCAACAGTGTTCCACTAGTCATTTTTGTGATAGATAATGTGTTTATAAATTCATCGACGGATCTACTTGATTGTCGATGAGATTCAGCTACCTTCAGAAGACAACAGCTAAACGAATCAGTGCACTAGCGGAATTGTTGAAACAAGTACTCTGGCTTCGATTTGTTAGCTTCAAAGTCAGTCCATTTCAAATTATGTTACATAAATAAGAAAAGCCTATATTTGTATACAATTGGTGGATGGTGGCTAGCAGTGGAATCCAGGATAACGCGCATTTCGTCATATTTGGGACTCGTCAGCTGGACGTACCTGCATTTCCCAGTGAGTGATGATGTTCCCACCACGGAGGCCCGAACCCAGTGCCCATAGTTTCAAACGCCAAAGCGTCAACCTGAGACCGAGCACTTCGGTCCAATCAATCGACGGGAAAATCAAAAATTCAATTCAATAAAAGCCTATATTGTTTGTTAATGTCACCAACATCCGTAGAACTGCTAGTATACAGCAATCATCCAACAAAACGCAAGCACTGAATGCAGTCAAGCTACTGAAAGCCTGTCGGGAGGTAGTAGGGCTAGACGGAATTCTTGTGTGGAAGCAATGAACATGGGTCCGGAGACTGCAGCTGATATCCTCATGCCAATATTAGAGAACGTTTGGAAGGAAGGAAGGAAGGCAAGTTGCCTACTGGTTAGAAGAAAGGCTACCTTGTGAAACTACCAAAGAATGGTGATTCTAGCCCTTGGAAACAGACAGGAATACGTTGGACCAATAAGAAGTCTCTAGTAGATGAGATGTTCGTGGATGGTTTATCTCTAGTGTGCCACAAACTTGAAGATCTACAGCTTTAAAGCAACAATCTTGGCAGAAGAGTCAGGCAACGAAGAGACACCTTGAATTAAACATAGATAAGACAAGGATGATGAAGATAGCCAATTAACAACAACAAGCGCTAATCACAATCAATGGGAGGAATTTGAAGGAGGTCACTTCTTTCACTTGGTATCTAAGTATCGTCCTTTCAATTATAGGTAATAGCATGATTGAGGATATCAAAGCCAGCTAGGATCGGAAAAGCAAGACAGACATCCATTAATCCGATATCAGTGGGATCAGATCTACTGTACTCAGCATAAGAAACAAGACTCAGATGTTCAACACTAATGTCAAGTCAGTCCCTCTTTATATAGTTGATAGACTTGGCATGTCATGTCACGAAAAGCATTTCGAACAGACTTTATACTTTTACGAAGAACTGCCTTCGCTGCCTCTATACTGCTGCAGATCAAGTGGTCTGTCAGAGAAAGTCAGCAATAAGGAATTGTGACAAGTGAGTTAGCCAACCAATACCCTATTGTCCGAAATACATGTCGATGAAGATAGAAGCGGATTGGACACAGGCTGAATAACATGCGGCGACAGACATGACCTCGAGCGAAACACAAGTGGGAAAGAACGAGTTGGGCGTGTGTCCTCCCTTCTGTACCTGACATGGAGATATGGTGTGATAAGGGGAGTCATGGAGCCATCTAAAGAAGATTGCATAGAACAGGATAAAATAGAGGTGTGCTGTTGAAGCCCTATGCTCTACTCGCAACCTAGGGGAATAATAATATGGTATTTGCTGAATGTATTGCTTAGTGATGATCGCATTACCAGTATCACTCACCACTGAAATCCTGGGTTTCAAGGGTATTCCCAACTGCCAGTAACGAAGCTGGTGGTTAATTATTTTCCCATAAAAAAGAAATAACTTTAAAATTGATTACAGCTGACACACATGAAACTCCACTCTACTTATTCATTTATTTGTTGTTGTGTTTTTTTTTCATTTAATAGCCGGAATATTTTCCTTTCCTGTTGTCAACATCCAATACTGCAATACCACAATCATCAACAATTTCACGTTTACGAACAACATTCTATGCATCATTATCTCGACTGTTGATGGTTGATTTAGGTGAAGATGAAGAACAATTTTTAAATTTCGTATCTCCGTTAACAAGAGTTACCAATCAATTGATTATAGCTTTACTATCTGGTGGTAAGTAAAAAAAATAAGTGTATATCACAACCTTTTTTTCTGCTCTCTTCTCTTCCCCTCCACCCTGCCCCCATATACTGATTTCAGCAACTCAGGGACTGATTTGTTACCTGGGTGTGTTATCTCGTTGACTTAGAATATGCGGATGATATAGTCCTTCTAGGTGAAGACAAAATGTCTGGCATGCGATTGGCACCCTCCTGTCAAATGTAAGATGACGCTACAGGACCGAATTGGACTACATCGACTCACTCCTAGCTTAAAGATAGGCAAGAGTGAAGTGGCTGGTGGAGTGTGTTGACCACTTCAATTATTTGGGAAGTTGCTCACGACCCAAAGCAGCAGGTTGGTCGCTGACGAAATCCCAGCAGGTATACAGAAGGCTCGTTTGGCATTTTTCAACTTACTGTGCTTCTGGTGTAGTAGACGTGATATGCAGCTGGCTGTCGACTAAAGGACGTGTGTACTGCTCAGCAGTCCCCTCCTTCCTCCTTTATGGCTGCCAGTGGGACATGGTTATTGAAAGGGGAAGATATGAAAAGGCTAGCTATTCTTTGATCATAGGTGTCCGCGCTGTTTCTCCCCTGTTAGGTGGTGTAATAGGATGAGCAGTATTGAGGTAGGGCATCGGTTGAGTGTGAGGTGAGATGAGGAAATCAATCGACGAGGTTATAAATTTACATCGATTGAAACGGTTAGTATATGCCGTTACTCATGCTTACCTAGTCATTACTTTCCTCGACGAGTGATATTAACTGACATTGGATGGATCAAGTTGGAAAAGAGCTCGTGGTGGCCAAAGAGTGAATGTATCTACCTTACTGAGGACAGTTTGGGTCCATATGATCAATAGTCTCCAACTGTTGGTTCTTAGCATCTTGAGGACTTCGACTAGGCAGTATACACCTTCATACGTTGGTGGTTGGCTCAAAGCAACAGTCTCAGTCTTCATGGATTGATTGCAGGCTTTTGTTTGACCACTGCTAACTCTTTTCCAGTCTAATCGTTTGTCAACTAACACTGTCCGTCTAGGAAGGTGGTTGCTTCACAACGTTGGTTGACATACCCTCCTTATCTAACACTGTACACCTAAACTCAATATCACTCATCTTCTAATGCCACTTAACATGAAAGACAGAACGCAAACATCTGTGGTCAAACACAACTAGTGTTATCATATATTTCCCTTTCAATGAGCAAGTCTTACTCACATCTATGTATGAGAATGGAACGAACTGCTGCTCAGTACACGCGTCGTTCGATCGACAACTACCTATCATATCGCCGTTGGAAAACCTTAAAATACCGAAAATCTTTTTCGTCCTGGTTTCAGACTCTCCATCAGTACACACCTGCTGGTAAAAGCAAAGTTACTGTGCTGTAACATTGGCTGGCAGTTGTGGTATGTTTATCGCAAATAGGCAGAAGTTGGAATTCATGGGTCGTTGGTTCGGTGTCCCAGTGGCTGGATAGTCTACGAACTCTCCTTGTAACCGAAACGTCCTGCATTCAAATTAGTGTGAGTGCATACTGTTGATGAGTACCAAACTAGAACGGAGTAGTTGTGCACACTACTCCTTGGTAATTAAAGATACATCTAGGGTTTTACTTCATGATGCACTTTTTCTGCCTCAAACTATAGTAATAATAACAGATATACTGCAGTAAGCGCCGACTGAATAAAAAAAACCATTCTAAATGGAGTCTGATACATAGCTGTGATGTAATATACGAAGTATGTTCAAATATCGTCCTTGTAAAAGCCTTACGGCGAGTCCATAACATTCTAAATCGCTTTCGTGACGGATACTTTACGTCTTGGTGTGATCTTCACGTCATGGTTTACAAATACGCATCAATCGTATTTATGTATGATGTAAGCGACATGAACAATTTGACTTCTGCGTATATTGATTTCTAAAGACCACTCTGTCTGTCTGTCTGTATTAGCAGACCACTAAGTATAACTCTTCCTGCGAGGCAGGTTGACCACTGTCATTGTGTGAAACCCTCTATAACTTGCTATATACGATGAACAGAAGACAGGAATAACTTAATTACTACTAATGGCATCTCGCTTACATAAGTTTTATGAAGATGCCCTATAATTGTAGCTTGAAGAATACCAGACTTCATTAGTTTCCATGATGATGACAGGTCGTCGACTCGCACTCATTGTCTTTATTTTCAGTCAAAATACTGAAGCCAATCTCTTACACTTTTTACTGATTCCAAGACAGCCTAATTCAGTCAGTCTTATTAAATATTTCACACCATATCATGAATTCGGCTGGCTGATCTCTGTATCAACAGTAATAACGTGGTCACGGTGACTGGTGATTTTCTGTTCAGTTATCACTGCATAGTTTTCAATCAAGCGTGAGAAGTTGTATTAGCACCAACGGACTGATTGGCGATGAAATCTCAGCACGGATCCCAAAAGCTCGAGCTGCTTTCGCTGACTTACACCATCTCTGGCGTAGGCGTGACATCCGGTTATCAACCAAGGGACGTGTGTACTGCTCACCAGTTCGCTCCGTCCTTGTCTATGGCTCTGAAACATGGCCAATACGCGTTGAAGATATGAAAAGGTTAACTGCTTTCGATCATAGATGTCTGCGATCTCTGTCTCACGTTAGGTGGTGGTATTATAAGGTAAGTAATGTTGACGTTAGGCGTAGAGTGTTGGGCAAAGAGGAAAAATTAATCGACGAGGCTATAAAGTTACATAGACTAAGATGGCTAGGTCACGTGCTGCGCATGCCTAACCACCGCCTCCCCCGACGGGCATTGCTAGCTGATATAGGTGCAGGTTGGAAAAGAGTAAGTGGTGGCCAAACAAAAACATGGCCTCATCAATCCATGAAATCCTTGACAGTTAAACTGAGTCGGTCAGGTAGGGAGATGCAGACTCCCGGGTTGGGGGCCTTGGGACTCAAGGAATCAATGGCTGGAGACAACAGGTGACATGGCTCAAAATCGTTGTCAATGGCCAGCGCTGATGTATTCAGTCTCTGTAATCTTTCGTCTTCCTTTCTACCATTACCCATTCTGTTTCACTCTTATACTTGTCAAACTCTATTGATTCTCTTCACTCATCTTCTTGTCTACTTCTGTGTGCTATTTGGAACGTGGCAACTGGAACTGCTGCATTTGGGTTCCAAGTTCTATGTTGAATCCAGACAGACAGACAGAATCAAGCGTGGTGTAATTGTCTTAAGTCTAGGCTACATGGTGTTTACAGATGAGACATTTCTAGTGAGTTACGGAAGACGAATTATTATATGGACAGTTGTGAAGGGAATTGGAAATGATAGCTGAGAACCTAACCCAGTGGAGACCTGTCGCTAAGGTCCAACTGATAGCTGCTACCTTGAGGTAGTGGTCGGGCTTTCATTACCGCACTGATCTAACGGGCTACATTGCCTAGAGCGAACGTTCCCGCAGATCCTACCATGCCAGAAAGGTTGTTTGGATTGTTCATTATAAAAAAAGTTTTTTTTGTTTGGATTGTAGTTTGGTTAAAAGCAGTTACCTTCATAGTCTGCGATTTTTACAATATGTTAGGGTTATATGACCGAAGTCGTGCCGCTGGGAAATAGGAATGTAACGGGAGTAAGGTGTTTCCTTCAGATGGTCAGCACATGTGAACCATGCTGTCTCTTCGCCCCGGAGATGGGAAGGGATAGTTAGAAAAGATTGTCTCCGAAAATTGTAGTGGTCTGTACCCGGCGATAAAACCTTAACATAGGGACGCAAAAAACACTTCAAAGAGACCGTGTATGACCAACCTAAAACAGTTGTCCCCTAGGCACTGAGGTCATGCAACATTAATGCTCGTTTTATTTCAGGTGGTCGTAGAAGAAATCGATTCCCATGATGTGAGAAGCTGGGAAGTAATTTGAAACCAGCTGATTCTTAAACAGGTTTCTGCTTTATTCTATTCAATACACTCACTGGATGTAACCCCTAATCTTGTATTTTCTTTTTGTTTTCTTACGATATCACTTTTAGATCCATCAAATTTAAGTCAAGAATTGACAAAAATTTCCATAATCGGTTTAGCCAGAGATGTACGAGGTATATCGTGCAGTTTAAATACTAAAACTTCTTATCAAATGTTAATCGATTGGATATATCCAAGTGGTTTACAATTGTTCAATCGTGCACTTGATCTATGGCCATTAGATCATAATATTAGTGTGCCTATATTTAAAACGCTGACAGAATTAGTGCATAATCGTAATGGACGTCTGTTGTATGATACAACTATACCAATTGCTTATTTATTATTCACGCATGTTAGTAAACTGTTATATAATTTTGGTAAGTTCAATTTAATCTGGTTGTTTATTATTTTCCGCATTATTTCTTCCCATATTCAGTCGTTAATTTTTTAAACATTAAAAATGAAAGGGTTATGTAACCAGAAGTTTTTTTTTGAAAAGTAATGGAGTAGGTGCGTTTTTAACTAAATGGTTTGATTACCAAGTCTTTATTTTTCCTCTGGATAAGACCTTTATCCCACCCACCTCCTTATTAGTCCTTTTATTAAAACGCAAACTTCATACATTACGGGCACTAAGTGATGCGTCACAGAAAATCTCGGGTACTGCCCGAACTCCCAGGTCGAAGTAGGTTGTTGTCTTAAGCGAGCTCATGACTTCAGGTCTGATCCATAAGACTGCATACGACAGTGTCAGAAGCTACGTTCCCATGGTTTTGCGGCAACCAGAACAGGTTCATACGCCATTCAGCCCTTTCGAATTGTGGAGCCGACGTACGCTACAGATTTTGAATTAGGTTTTTCCAGCTCCCATGAACCAGTTCGGTTGTAAGTGCTAGATGTTCGCATTGGCCCTTTCACGTTTGTAAGGAATACCCCCCCCCCGGGGCGTGATAGCAGCCTCATAAAATCTCTTTTGGGGGAAGTATCTCTCTCTTTTGGTCCTGTAGGATAAGGAAAAGACACCTTGTGAGAGCGTCTTCCTAAAAGTCGAACATATCCAAACTCTTCACCAAAGGAAGTCTATCGTCGATTCAACAAACTAATAAAGAATCATCCGTTGGAATGATAAGTAAAATCATCCTACCTTGCGTGTGTTGAATGTTTCCTGCATCACTACTAGAATATCAAAACTTTTTGGAATAGTTGTCACTCACAAACTCTCTTCCGCCCGTACTTTATAAACTAAATAGACCCAACATCGAAAGTGAACAAAACCAACGTCATGAAATGTTAAAAAGACATTATATTGATTGAAGAAGGGACATCCTCATCATCAGAAATTAAACTATTAAGAGACATGACATTTATTCTTCCAAATCAGTCTGTGTATATAACTGTGGACGTCAGTTCAACTGAGACGTTCTAAAAAATCATAGGTAGATGGAGTAACAAAGAACGCGAGACTACTCCAGGAGGTCTTGAACTCAAATCAATTTTTAAGCAGTAGACATTTTGATTTAAATTAAATTTATCAACTAACACAAATACTAAGTTACACGAATAAAAGGTTGAATATATGAGGCCAACGAGATTTTCAATATCACTACAAGTAGATACAATCATGATAACATTTGCAAGAACTACCGAACACAGTAAATATCAACAGAAGAGACAGTTCTTCTTTAAGACTGAAGATATTGTCTAACAGGCTAGTGAAAACTTCTCGATTAAACCATCCAGCTCAAAGAACAGAAGTACACTATACATTTTACTACTTGTCACTAGCGAAAGCCTATCTTGCAGTTAAGTTAGTTCCCTAATGTAAGTGTAGAACTTGGGCACTGTGGTAGAATCTAATTCGACATAAGATAAGTGTTTTAACAAAGCTAGAACTACAGTTTTTGCAGAATAATGTGGCACCATCATTTAGATATGATAGAGAAGATTTGTAGCTCAGGTGGATGATTTTGATGTGGTTTTGTTCTCTGAGCTGGCTGGATAGTTAATTTGCGAAGCTTTCATCACCCTACTGGGTGACATCTTCAGCGCATACTTCAATTTGAAGTGAGCTTTTACATTTCTCCACGAGTTTATTAACCATCTCTCCTGGTGAGTGAACTTGGACGTGATTGGTTGTTTTTGTGTGTTTTCACACCTTCTAGGCAGCTACTTGTATTCGAACTGATTGTTTCTTTGACTTGAACTTTGACCCTTTGTGTGTGAGGTTTCTTTCTTATCGGTTGATAAATTTTGTCTATCTCGATGTGTCTATTGATTGATGATTCACTGGAATGCCAAGCTTCTAAAAATTCTCTAGCATTCTTGTTATTTCCGTTGTCTAATATTTGAACATCGTCCCAGTCGAACTGATGTCCGTGGTTGTCTGTGTTTAGTGAAATGAGGGAGTGGATATCATGTCTTTTGACGGCTAGCTTATGATCGTGGATACAAAGACGAAGGGGACGTCCACATTGGCCACTGTAGTGTTTTTCGCAGTTGTTACAATTTATTTTGTAGATCTGTCTGTCTGGTCTGGATTCAACATAGAACTTGGCACTGAAGTGCAGCAGTTTGAGTTGCCACGTTCCGAATAGCACACAGAGGTAGACGATGTTGGTTTTATCTTCTTTCGTTGTTGAGTATTTTGGTTGACATAGAATTGATTGAAGCGACTTCGTTGGTTTGTGTGGGACGTCAATTCCTAAAGGTTTGAAGAGTGATTTCTGAGATATTCTTTATATATGGTAAGACGATTTTCTTTGTGCTTTCCTTGGTGGCTTTTGCTTTGGTAGGTTGGCTTGGGGGTATATGTCTCTTGATGAAATCCCATCATTTATTTCGTTGCCTGCTCACATCAGCTGCTTACAGGCCGAAGACACTATTAAATATATCCACAGAAACAATTTTAACATACTTCCACAGAGTTCATTTTAAACAAAAATCAATCGAACAATATATGCGTACAGTAATTATGTAATATTAAACACTGTTCCCAACAATAATAATCATACACCAGGGAAACTTTTCAGCATTACGCATTCAGATGAAAGAGAGATGAAAATATCAAGTTACCAGGGCAGGTAAGGAAAAACTGACAACTGTTTCTTTCTGAACGCACTAATCAGATTTCAGGCGCTTTATGGAAATGACTTCAGTAAACCTGAGGAGAATTGAACTCTTTTGTCCATTGATAATTTCGATCGATTTTGCGAAGTCCACCTCATGACCCGTGTCATGGAGATGCCTGGTGATGGCACCGTTGAGAGTATTTCTTCCCTTTAGACATAGATAAGCTTTTCGGTACATGTTCAGAAAATCGTAGATATGCCCTTCTTTCTGTCCTTCCAATGTAACTGCTCCCGCAGATACATATAAATTTGTATATACAGTTGAAGTTGTTAACATGAGAAGGATATCTATCGATTTTCGATTTCACCAAAGAGCAAGTTGTTCGATAGACGGGGACGAGCTTAACTGCAGGATAGGCTCTGGCTAGTGACGTACTCAGTCTTCTGTTGATCATTGCTGAAATGTTTTCACCTTTATAATCAAGTTGAATATAGACTGGCCTTTTCTGTTTTACATTTGAGACTTCAAGTCTGCCATACTTGTTAGTGAACCTTTGAGGGTAACCGTTGCTTTTCAGTATCTTTCCATGAAACTTAAATTCTTCCTCTAATTTCTCTGCAGAGCATATTCTCCTCGCTCTATAATACAGAGTCTTGACTAGTCCGCGTTTAAAGCTATTTGGACAAAAACTATTAAAATATAAGTATTGCCCTTTCCAAGTAGGCTTTCGATAAACTGACTTTTGAAGACTACCATCTTCTAGGAGCTGCATGGCAATGTTCAAGAAGTGGAACTTTCCGTCACTTTCATGTTCCATATTAAACTCAGTATTGGTATGTACGTCATTGAATAATCTGAGTAAGTGTGAAGCATGTCTTTCATTGCTGCACACTACAAATGTGTCATCAACATATCAACAGTAGGAAGTTGTTTCTAATAATCACACAGTGATGATGCTCTATTAACAACTGGATGACAGACAAGGTTTCGAGCGTAAATTATTGCCACTCATAATCATATCATAATTTTAGTCAAACGATTCCACAATTTGTCTTACATATATATCTTCTCTCTATTCTATCTCTCCAACTTCTCTATGTTGTTTATTGTCACTTTACATATCTCCGGTATAGGCGCTGCATTGCGTCATACCGATTGCAAGTCAGCGGTGTTGGATCGATAAACAAAGCTTCAATGACTAAACTCTCTGTCTCTCCACCTAACTATATTACTTTTTAGGACTCTCCCCCTGTCCCACCCTATCTCTGTGTGATTGCATGCAAGTGAATACAGTGGAGTGCAATAGCTGAGCTGCTTTTTTTCTGGGTTATTTAACTTAACAGGGTCAGTTATTCTAGGTCTAGCTAAATTTTTATGTTCCAATAATCTAGTTGACCCTGATCTACTAATTTAACCTATGTAATTGACCTCACATTCTCCATTATGGAGTTATACTCTACCACAGTGCCCAAGTTTTATACTTATATCATCAATGACCTCACATTCATTACATGGTATTTGGTAAATTATATTATTTTTCTGATATGTATCCACATGATGTGTATCTTGTTTTTGACAGTCTGATATATTTTACTATGTGTATTATGGATCGATATTCCATTATAACTGACAACATGTTTTTGTCTGTCCATTAACTAAATAAGCAATGTATGACCTTTTTATCACATGACATTACAACCAATCAGAATCAAATGACAGTAAGATAATCTACTGTCTATCTTATTGGATCATGTATCTTAGTCATTTTCATATATGCTTTTGCACTGTACACTTTTATACACACTTTTCGTACACTACGCATCCTTTCACTCACACACTTGTGTGACAGTCAATTTCCATTGTTGGAAAATACACATATCTACGTGAATGTGGTGGTCTTCTGATTTTCCTCTTTTCGCGTCAGGACAATTAACTACTCGACGAGTACATAACATTTTCTTAAGTGGATCTATTGAATCCTTAAACCAACAAAGTTTATATCTGAGAGAGTTTTTTTTCGTTGAGAATCATACGTAAGGCCTTTAAGGTGAAAACGTGTGACTTAATTGATATGATTATAAGTGGCAATAATTTATGCTTGAAACCTTGTCATCCAGTTGTTAATACAGCATCGTCAATTTGTGTGATTATTAAAATAAACTTATCCAATATGTTAGTTCCCGTTTATCGAACAACATGCTCTTTGGTGCAATCGAAAGTTAACAGATACCCTTCTCATGTTAACTCCAACTGTGTATACAAATTTACATATATCTGCGGGAGCAGTTACATTGGAAGAAGAGAAAAGAAAGAAGAAGGGTATACCTTTTATTTTCTGAACATGTACCAAAAAGCCTATCTGTGTCTAAAGGGAACAAATGCTTTCAACAGTACCATCACCAGGCATCTCCTTGACATGGATGGTCATGAGGTGGACGTCGCAAGGTCGTTCAAAATTATCATCAGGCAAAAGAGTTCAATTCTTCTCAAGTTTGCCGAAGCAATATACATCTAGCGCCTGAAATCTGATTAGTGCGTTCAGAAAGAAACTGTTACCAGTCTTTCCTTACCTGCCCTGGTAACTGTCTCTCTCTTATGATTACGCAATATCGAAAGTTTTCGTTGTGTATCATTATTATTGTTTGGTATCAATTAATTATTACTATTATTATTTGGGAAGTACCATCAGCCAACCCTAACGGGTTGATCTCTGACGAAATCTCAGCACGGATACAGAGGACTAGTTCCGCATATGCCAGTTTACGCCGTCTCTGGCGTAGACGTGATATCTGGCTGTCTGTCGACCAAAGGGCGTGTGTACTACTCATCAGTCGGCTACGTCCTCCTTTATCACTGTGAGTGAGACCTGGCCACTGAGAGTGGAAGACATGAAAAGCCTGACTAGCTGTCTTTGATCATAGGTGTCTGCGTTCTATCTCCCGTGTGAAGTGGTATAATAAGGTGAGCAATAGTGAGGTTAGGCCTTTGTCGAGTGCTAGGTAAGGAGGGGAAATCAATCGACGAGGTTGTGAAGTTACAAAGACTGAGATGGTTAGTACATGTGTTGCGACACATGTCTAGTCATCGCCTTCCTCGACAATGGGCAATGTTAGCTGATATAGGGTCAGGCTGGAAAAGAGCTAGCGGCGGTCAAACCAAAACATGGCTTCACCAGTCAACGAAATCTACAACAGTTAGTCTAAGCCAGCCACGTAGGAAGGTGTAGACTTCCTGACTGGTTGGGGTCCTCGTTATGGTAAAAACCAATGGTTGGAAACATTTGGTGATATCGCTCGAAATCGTTCTGAGTGATGGTTAGCGCGGATGCATCCACTCCTTGTGACTTATGATTTCCAATGAAACTGTTTTGTTCTTCGTTACTACAATTCCTTTGTCTCACACCTCTGTTTACTGTCTCTATTTTGCATTTCTCTTGTTTTGTGTGCTACAAGGAGTGGAGTGTGGCGACTTGAACTGGCGCACATATGTGCAAAGTTCTATGTCGAAAGCAGAGAGACAGACTGTTTACACAATAAGTTTAGCGCATAGCCTGTTCCATGAAAACTTAGAGTTCCCAGGTCACTGAGTTTTAATCAACTGATTAAGTTTTTTAAACATAGCTTAATATAATTATAACTTTCCATAAGAGTGAATTCGACATTTTCACTGTTTGTTCTACTATCTAAACTCTAAATTATTTCAAGTTTGATTACGGATTGATATCAGTTAGAGGGAACCATTGAAAACCACTCCGAGGGAGTAGTACTGGACAACCCTATCCTCCTAGTTTGGGACTCACTGGAATTATTCACCTACCGCCAGGGTTCGAACCCAGACCGTTCAGCTACTGGGACCGGATAAATATATAATTACAATAGTCGTAGAAAAAAGTATCATGGATTTATTATATGCTAAATCATTAGGTCCATTAATGGGCGGTTATCAACGTGGTTAAGGCTGATTGACCGGCTATCTGATTAATGTATAGATGTGGTGAGAGCAGGCTGCTAGCCAATTGGTAGACATTAATCTACGTCAATGTCTATGTCGCTAATATTGGCCGTGAGAAAATATGAACAAGACTAATTCAACAACCAATCACAGAAGACTTAACGTGGGCAAATACGATTCGCAGATATATAGCTTACCTTTCTGAGAAACCAGTCACAAGCAGTACAGAATAACCTTGAGCAAGAAACAACCAGTCAGAAGACTGTGTTTGTCTGCTTGAATAAGTTATAATAATGTACATGAAAAATATATAAATACGTGCTGATTTCTGTAATAAAACTATCTGTTGCGTGGCCCTTGTCTTCTGTTGTTATATAGGGAATCAGTATTTGCATAATTTAAATTCTGACTGACAGACTATCGAGCTAGTCTCTAGTTTATACGTAACACCCTTTGAGTTGTGTAAGGTGCAAACAGAGAATTTTTTTCTTTTTTTCAGTACTTAATGGTTTAGTAGGTACGTTACATGTGTCGGTAGTTCAGATTATTGCATGTTTGATTTCGTTAACCTACAAGAAAAGATTGCAAACTGGTATATTTTACTCCCATAGCTTATAGTCAGTAAAGTTTCACAAATCTTCAAGTTTTGGCTTACGGAGCTCTGAATGGTTTCCGAATAGGTCATGAATGGATGTAGGTTAGGGGACCATTGAAGACCAGCGAGTTCTGGACAGCAGCTTCATCCCATCTTGGGACTCTTACGCAATACACACCTATAATCCCGCTGGGAGGCTTGTTCACCATTCAGGAACTAAGACAAAATTCTGACTATATATACCAGTAGTACTCTCTGGTTTTCAATCATTCTCTTGCTGATATCAGTTGGTAACTCAACTTATTTCATGCATTATTTATACTTCTTAATTGATACCCTGGATACACACTGAAGAGACCGTTGGGTGTTATCATACGCTAGTCCCCCGAGTGCGAGCCCGAATGGGAAACGATGGGTTGGGCGTCAGAGAGTGACATAGAGGAGATCGTGTGAGGAGGATATGGGAGTCTATAGACAATTGTGAGACCAGCTGAAGAGGACTGCAGAGAACAGGACAAGGTAGAGATATGCTCTGGAAGCCCCTATGTTCTACTCGGAATCCAAGGGAATAATAATGAGTTTTCTAGTTCTCTCAATATTTCTCTAAACACCTAATTTTTAGAATAGTTTCCTTTTGATTACACTTATTTGTCTTCTCCTCCTTTTTACAGGTTTACAAATACTGGCTAACCTATGTCAGATACCTAAACATTCTATGTATGAAATGAAATTGAAACCGATTATGTCAGCTTTAAATCTCTTGAAAATGTGTCTTGGCGGTTGTGTAATTAATTTTGGTGTATTCAGTTTATTTCATGATGATTCATTAGAGAGAGCTATGGAAATCGGTGTCCAATTACTGCTGTCTTTAAGTGATTCTGAGTTGCATGTAAGATGGCTGTTGTCTTTTTTCTTTGTTTTCAAACTTTTATTTTCGTTATTATAAATTCCAAATGCTGATTAGTGATATGCAGCACACCAAGCATCGAAGAGACATAATAAACAGGTAATAGTAATATGGAAGAACAATAGAATCTCATTGGATATTATAAATCACAAGGAGTGAATGCATCTGCACCAGTCATTATTGAGGGCAAGGATTTTGAACCATATCAGTAATTGTCTCCAACCCTCATTGGTTTTTACCATCTCAACGACCTCAACCATGAAGTCTACATCTATTGGTTGGTTTAAACCACCTAGGGACGTGTGTAGGCTACTTGACTAACTGGAGTGTTCGAGATGATAAAAATTAATGTCTGAAGACTGTTGGTGATATGGCTCACAGTCGTCGTTCTCAATGGCGCAGATCCATTCACTCTTTGTGATCACTTAGATCTTTTAATTTTCCATTCATTATTCTCCATATAACTAATGCGCTTTCTGTGTATGTTTCCGTTTATATTTATCTCAATAACTTAGTACTGGGCTGTAAACCCCACTTCTTATGGGTGGGTGGGTAAGGGGTTGCTAATAATGCTACTACCCTGCTATCCATATTGAATTAGGCGGAGTAGGAGTTGAACCCCGGGACCCATTGGCTGAAAGTCGAATGTTCAATTCAGTACACCACATCTCCTTTATGTGTGAAGTTTTTATAAAGGGTGACAACTTGAACAACTGTATATATGTGCCAAAGTTCTAAGTCGGAAATTCAATTGAGTTCAGTTCATTTGACATATATATGAAAAAGGCACAAACAGCGAAGAAAATTTTCTTTTTGGCGATTCATTTTCATTAGCTGTACATAAAGAGAATGTCCCACTTCGACCTGTCATAGACATGGTTAATTCACCACATCACTGAATCGCGAAGTGGTTAGCTGATATCCTTGAACCAGTTAGAAGACATATGACAAAATACAGCCTCAGAGATACGTTTTACTTCATAGACTCAGTGAAGGATGTCAACGTGTCTGAAAGACAAATGATCCCACTAGATGTCGCCCCTGTATTCACAAGTATCCCCCTTACCGAAACAATATGCTTCACTTGTAATTATATCGAAACAAACAACTTAGAAGTTCCTCTCCCCACAAACTACCTGAAGGGACTTCTCAGATGTACGTTCAATATCCAGTTTAAATTCAATGAACAGTTCTATGTACAGAAAGTTGATGTAGCTATGGGGTCTCCTCTCGGTCCACTCCTAGCCGACTGCTTCATGTCGAGTCTCGAAAACAACATCCTCGATCCCTTGATAAGTCAACTGTACTTATACAAGAGATGCGTAGATGATACGTTTATAATGTGATGGAAAATGTGATTTAGATTCTCTCCTCAAAACCTTCAACGCAGTGCATCCATCAATAAGATTCACCCTAGAACGCGAATCGAACAACGCATTTCCATTCCTTGATGTACTACTCACCAGAAGACAACACTGTACGATCCAAAGATCGATATACCGCAAGCCAGCATGGACTGGATAGTTTATCAACTTCCACAGCTTTGTCCCACTGATCCAAAAGGGAAACTTGGTACGTACATTGTGTTCAAGGATTAGAAAAATCTGCTTGGAAGACATGGTAGAGAAAGAATTAAATTTAATACGTGAAACCCTACTAGAGAATGGGTATCCACGATGATTGATCGACAAAAAACATGAAGGAGAAGTCTCCAGTGTCAGATATCGCAACGGTTCCTAAGAAGACTCTCTTCATGAACCTAGCATTCAAAGGTGATATCGCAGCAGGAATTCTCGAAAACCGCCTTTCAAAAAGTCTGAAGAAGACATTCCCAACAGCCACTCTACGTATCACATTTTCCTGCAAACAGTTAATCCAGTCGAACGCTAAGGACTAGATACCACTTTTTGCCACCTCAATGTGTATTTATCAATTTACTTGCCCGTGTGGAGCAAAGTCTATCGGCCTTACTCAACTTCAAGTTTACAAACGTATTCTGGAACACTGCCCAACTTGGTTATCCAGAGGAGACAAGACGAATAGCAACAGCTCGATCCTCGAACACCTTGTCATCTCCGGACATTGAGCACGCCCACATGAATGCTTCACAGTGTTATACAGAGTCCCTCAATATCGTACGAAGGGACTTCGGGTACGCCATCTGTACATACCTGAAGCATTAGCTATTAGAGATCTGAAACTGGACCTCTGCATTCAAAAGCGATGCATACATTCTCTGGCCCTACCATGGCCAGAGTAAAGTTCTTACTATAATTTTGTTTCTTTCCTTTATTATGTAAGTTCACTATTATTATTTTATTGTTATTAATACTTTTACTATCATTATTATTCCCATCATCCACATTTTATTACCACTCTATTACTGTTTATTAATAACATGGCTTTTTCATACAGATTTTAAACAAAAACACTTTATAGCCTTTGTACTAGTTCCTGTCCATTCTACAGTAGCTTATTGATTAGTCATTATCTCACACTTATTACGTCATGCCAACTTCTGTCTACTTTCTAACTTACAATTAGTCATCCCTTCTTACACCTTACATTATGTAATACAATTTTTCAAGGACAAAGTTTACTGGTATCTGATTGGTTTAAGGATTTCTTTGTTAATTATAATTACGATTGTACAGCTGATGAAAATGAATCGTCGAAAAGGGGGAAATTTTCTTCGCTGTTTGTGCCTTTTTCTTATGATTCAATATGCGAATATTTCGTTCATATATATATATATATATTCCGCTTGTTTAATAAATTTGATTTTTTCTTTCTTATGTGTGTATATAAAGGATCATACAAAATTAGCACTATGCCACTTTGGATTATTAGAGCACATGTTCAATGAGCATATTATATTTGTTGCTTCACTTGGTACACCGATCCTGCTGCATTTCTTAAAGACTATTGCAAGTAATTTAACTTCATTAGGTAAGTTGTTTGATATGTATTTCATATTAAACTATATTTGCTTTCTTCTCTCCTCTTTTATTCAGTAGTAGTAGTGTAACAACAGAAGACAAGGGCCAGCCAGGCAACATATCGTTTATTTAGGAAATCAACGCATATTTATAGATTTTCATGTATATTATTATAGATTATTGTAAACAAACAAACACCGTCTTCTTATTGGTTGTTTCTCGCTGAACGTTAATCTTTCATCTCTTTTTGGCCGTTTATTGAAGTTCAGATTATCTATCTGCAAATTGTATTCGTCTACACAAAGTCTTCTGTGATTGGTTGTTGAATCAGCCTTTGTTCATATTTTTCTCACGACCAGTATTGAGGACGTGAGCACTGACGCAAATTACTGTCTACCAATTTTGGCTAGCAGCCAGCTCTCACCACACTATGAAGCTAATTGTAAGGTTAAATGGGTTGTTATGGTCCTGCTAAAATTGAAGCAGCACTTTATGTGAGAGTTAGCACATACTTAAGTTACGGTTTCTTTCGGTATGCAATCATAGAATCATTTTACAGGACCGATAATTGTTAAGTTTTGGGGTATTTGAAGATAACTGTTTTCACCGATAACCGCTCTCTTGACGTTGGCTGGTCGAACTCGCGTAATTGTGAGGACTTGACAAGCGCTAAACCGGGTGGGACGAATGCTCTTGCCGAAAAGCTCTCGTGCACAGCGCGCAGTATAAAATAAGTTGAGCGTTTGAGGTCGATGTTCATACTGCTGAAGAGTAGGAATGTAGCGGCAGGAAGGTGCTTTCCTTAGAGGATCAGCAAGCTGCTCTTCGGAGGGTTAGAGAAAGCCCATCCCGAAGACTGTACATCCTGACTTACCCTGAGATGGTTCTTTAGTGGACAGTAGGATCCTGACCAGCCAGAAATCACTTCCGTCAGCATCAATAAAATACCAATGACACAACAAAATCTTTAACCTGGGTGTTGGGGACGAATATCCTCATGGCAACCATTCATTAGTAGTATATCTGTAACAACAGAAGACAAGGGCCAGACAACAGATCATTTATTAAGGAAATCAGCACGTATTTACATATATTTCATGTACATTATTATAACTTATTCAAGCAGACAAACACAGTCTTCTGACTGGTTGTTTCTCGCTCAAGGTTATTCTGTACTGCTTGTGACTGGTTTCTCAGAAAGGTAAGCCATATATCTGCGAATCGTATTCGCCTATGTTAAGTCTTCTGTGATTGGTTGTTGAATCAGTCTTGTTTATATTTTCCCACGGCCAATATTAGTGACATAGACATTGACGTAAATTAATGTCTGCCGATTGGCTAGCAGCCTGCTCTCACCACATATCTTCTTTCCAATCTAACAATATCACTAATTTGATATTTCTTTCTACTTACCATCTGCGTTATTATATTTTTGAAAATTTTAGATCCTGGGATCAGTGAAGTGTGCTGTGTATGCTTAGATAGTTTTCTAACGCATCTGTTTAAACTTGTCCAACGTCAACAACGTTTCAGTCGTATTAATACTGCTAATAATAGCAGTAATAGTAATAATAATAATAACTCATTATATTTACTGAATTTGAATGTAGATAATAACAGCAATAATAGTAATATTAATAATAATAGCAATGTGATGAAGCCTAATGACAACAGTAATAATGAATTGTTAATGTCGCATTTAATATTGGGCAAAGGTGGTGCATCGAATCATGCAGTTTGGTCTTCACGTGCAACATTAGCATCTACAAATCTCTTGAATTTATTAGTGATGAACAATGCTACCACAACTACCACGGTGCCTGGAAATCTTGAAAGTTTAGAAATGCAATCCGGTGTCACTTTACTACGACGTATTCTAATCCTACTGTTAAGTTCAGTAATGCAAGAAGATTGTCGTTGTCAATGGTCTATGTCCAGACCGTTGTTGCCTTTAATTCTTTTAAATCAACAGGTGTGTGTGTTTGTTCGTGTATGCTTCTTTATTATTGAGTTTTTTCCTTTCATTTCTCTATTGTTTGGTTATATAATCCACCGAAGTACGTGAGACCGGGTTAATTTTGTTCGAGGTTGATTCAGAGTTTCAGTCCTGTTCCCACCTACTTTAGCCTTGATGAGTGGCTAGTGTCATATGACTGGCTGACTCAGCTTTAACATGGAACTTTGAACAGAAATGTAGCATTTGGAGTTGTCACACACCCATGCAGCACATAAACGATAGAAAAAAATTATTTAAAAGAGTATAGGTCGAGAGGAGTGGATGCATTTGCGCCAGCCATCATTGGTTTTTACCGTCCAGAGGATCCCAACTAGTCAGAAAGTCTACACCTTTCCACGTGGCTGGCTTAAACTAGCTGTCGTGGATTTCATTGGCCGATGAAGCCATGTTTTTGTTTGACCGCCGCTAGCTCTTTTCCAGCCTGACTGTATGTCAGCTAACATTGCCGTCGGTCGAGGAAGGCGATGACTAGGTATACATAACATGTGTCCTAACCATCTCAGTCGATGTAATTTCACAGTCTCGTCGATTGATTTCCCTCCTTACCTAGTATTTGACCGACGCCTAACCTCAGTATTGCTTACCATACTTAAACCACTTCACACGGGAGATATAACGCAGGCACCAATGATCAAACACAGCTAATCTTTCCATGTCTTCCATTCTCAATGGCCAGGTCTCACTCACAGTGATAAAGGAGGACGTAGCGGACTGATGAGTAGTACACACGCCCTTTGGTCGACACCCAGCCGGATATCACATCTACGCCAGAGACAGCGTAAACTGGCATATGCGAAACTAGTCCTCTGTATCCGTGCTGAGATTTCGTCAGAGATCAATCCGCTGGCGCTGCCTGATGCAATTTCCTTATTTCTAAATTAGGAGTCAGTGTAGTCCAGTCCTGTAACGTCATCTTGCATTTGGCGGGAGCGAATCGCATGCCAAACATTCGAAGATTGCGGCTCAAGGTGTTTAGAAGACTCTGCATTTCGTCAGCGTCTTCGCCTAGAAGGACTATATCGTCTGCATATTCCAAGTCAACGAGATTATTCCCTGGTAGCAAGTCAATCCCTGAGTCGCTGAAGTCACTTAGGGTTAAGTCCATTAACACATCTGTGATGAAGTTGAATAGAAAAGGGGAGAATGCGCATCCTTGACGGACACCACTAGTCGTCACCAGTTCAGATGACAGCTCGCCGTAAGCTCTCACCTGGCTGTATGAGTACGAGTAGAGTGCCTTAATCAGTGCAATATATTTTTTCGGAATTCCCTTTACAGCCAAGCATCTCCAGAGAACTTCTCGATCGACAGAATCGAATTCCGCCTTTAGGTCAAGAAATATAATGATTATTGGACGCCGGTAGGAATTCCTATGTTCTAGAATCTGTCGGAGGGTGAAGATATGATCAATACACCCTCTTCCTGGTCTAAAGCCTGCCTGGCTCTCTCTTGTTTGTGCCTCCCGAGCACCACTTAGTCTACGCATGATTATTGAGCCTAAGACTTTAGATACTATATTAGTCAAGCTAATCCCTCTGTGATTATCACAGGAGGACTTGTCTCCCTTCTTGTATATGGGGATAATCAGTGACTTACACCAACCCGATGGGACTACTTCTGATTCCCAGACGCTGCCTAGTACCTCAGTTAATGCAGACAGTAAGCTGTCTCCACCGTACTTAAATGCCCCTGGAGTCATTCCATCAGGTCCCGCTGCTTTGCATAGTTTCAGATTGGTGACAGCTTTAGTAACCTCAGTTAGGGATGGAGGAGCTGTGTATATATCCCATTCAGGGAGGTGTTGGATGTTTGGCAGGTTGAGCGTGTCTGTGGGCCAATTAAACTGCTCCTCATAATGCTCTTTCCAGCGATCCAGTCGTCTATCCTGGGAGCTAATTATAGTGCCATTATTTTCTGAGATTGTTTCACTAATGATTTGTCTTCTCCCACCCGTTTCCCTGATGAGTCTAAATAGTTGTCTGGTGTTGCCTATCCTCGAAGCTTTCTCCATCTCTTTGGCTTTTGTCACCCACCACTGTTCACGGTCCTTGCGGAGACTTTTCGTAAGTTTCCTCTTGTGCAGCTTTCGCTCCTCATTGAATTCGGAGCTCGCCGGAATAAGTCTTCTAGCATCTATCAGTTCGGATGAGGTGGTAGAGATTCAATGGCTCTTACTAAATTTTTGTTTTAGGTTATTAACAGTCTTTATAGTTGTGTCTACAGCTAACCATATGTTGTGCCAGGCTACCTCAGGAGGATTCCTGCTGTCGACCTCAGATACACGCTTCGCTATTTCCTTCTTAAATAGGGACTGAGTGTCTCGATCTAGTTGGGGACGTAACTGTTTCGCTGCCAACAATTTCTTATGTCCGTTTAGTCGTTAGCATAAACGTGCTCGGACCAGAGCGTAATCCAGAAGGAGCGGCAGTCTTCTACTCACCCTCCCCAACGAGACGGTATCATTATGTGGTGTATCCGAGTTCAATGGAGGTCGCCAATTACGCAGTGTATCTCTTTGTGCCTAAAGCAAGTGTTGACTAGAAACAGATGATTATCTGAGCAGATCTGTAGAAGACGATCACCGTTGTCAGTTCGTCGGCAGGGAATTCCATACGTACCATCTATATACTTCTCAGTCTGGCACAACTTCCCTACTTGGGTATTGAAGTTGCCTGCTAAAACAACTATATCTGAACGTTTTGCTTTTTGCAGTAAATTAGACAGTTTCAGGTAGAAGTCATCCTTTAGTTCATCCGAACTGCAGTCCGTCGGGGCGTAAGCGAAGACTACGAAAAGACAACGACGAGTAACACTGTCCTTCCTTCTAACGGACCTGTTCAGACGGACCGCACACATACGATTATCTGCTGAGATCCAGTCAAGAAGTGATTTGTCTGCCCTAAAACGCAATGCTATCCCTACATCTGTGAGTCCTCGCGAACTAGCTGAGGGGTCTCCTGACACCCTTAAAGTGAATTTCGCAGACTCACCTTGTTGGCCGAGTGAGGTTAAGTGAATGACCATACTCGGGTCTTGTATGCTTGTCTCCGAGACACAACATACACCCATGGCTCAAGATGCCAGAGTTATTGCTAGTGATGCCTGTTGTCCGATTTGGCAGAGGGTCCCGACGTTAAATGCTCCTATATGAAGTTGGCGACGTGGGTTTAAGTGGCTATCGGGGGTGATTCAATGACTCTCATCGTTGTTCGTGGTCACAGAGTAAAAAGATGACTCACTAGCGTGAAGGATAGTACTAACTGTGTTAGAGAAGTAAGATGATGAGGGTGATGTGGGTAAAGGAGGAGGATGCTCGGGGAGGCTGCGTGTGCTCTTGGAGGTGTGTGGGCAGTTGTTAATTCCCGGCTGCCCACACCCTGGAAGTTGGTTGATTCTTCGGGTACCTGAAGCAGAAAGAGTGTTGCGTGACCTCAGAGCCCAGGGGAAAACTGCTTGAGGCCGCTCACACACGGCTTTTATGAACCGATTTCTTGGTTTGGTTCCGTATTAGTTAACTTACCGCCGGTTACGGACCACCGTTGGCTAAGTCGGGATGTACAATTTTCGGGGTCGACCTTTCCTAACCCCCTGTCTCCGGAGTGGAGAAATAGCATAGATGACATGCTGGTTATCTGAGGGAAACACCGCACTGCTGGTACTTCCCTGTTCCCCAACAGTACAACTTCGCCCACAGACCCCCTCCCAGCGTAGTGTAACAAAAACTTCTTACACTAAGCCGGTAACTGCTTTTAGTCTAATCGCTATCCTAACAACCTTCCTAGCATGGTAGGACCTGCAGGTCATTGCGATGTGCAAGCCTGGCCACCACGTCAAGGTAGCAGCTATCTGTCAAGATAGCCATTGCTTCTTGACATCCAATCAGTTGATCCCAACCAGACAGTGAACACCTTCCCATGTGGCTGGCTCTAACCAAAAGTCAAAGAATTCATGATTTGATACTAGGTTTTGATTTGACCAACTCTAACTATTTTTCAACCTATAATGCTGTATCAGCTAATATTGCACGTCAAGTTAACTTGTCGACTCCTAATGTACGCACACGCTTCAACCAATCGCGTTAGGCGAACATGATGTAACCTCTAGGTATCACTTATCACCGAGATTTCCTCTCAAACGAAACAATATGGTCATTCTACTTTACCATAGTGTGGAACTGTAGTTCATTGTAGTATAAATGCTTCATTTCGAACCTTTCTCGACCTGTCGAGGTTTGGGCAGTTAGCAGGAAGTGTCGCACAATAGGCGTAGGGCTCATTGTCTCAGCTGCATGGGACTGTCAGTGGTTGTTCAGTTTGATGATAAGATGGTGAGTTATTTTTCCAGTGACAGTTATCTTACATAAATTAGCATAACTAGCTGTTCACATTTATTTTTCTTCATACACACATCTGTTTTAGTATTATGCAGAATTACGAAATTGTGTCATCACAGGATTACCTTTAGACAGGCAAGAATCTGTTACTAAACTGTTTGATAAATTAATGGAAGATGTAGAGTGTCATGTAACATTAAAAAATCGTGATAAGTAAGTTAAACAGAAATATTTTACCCTTGATTTCTTTTTTAATTTTGTTTGTTAAACTGCTTTTATTTCCTTCAGTTAAAGATGGACATGTTAGGTGTAGAATTTCACACACACACTCACTTTATGATAGTATACAAGACGAAAGAGAAATACACTCATACTGACATACACTAAAAATGACACAGTCAAAGTTCACGTCTCTTGTCTATGACATCTATAGACTCCACATCGCTAACTGTACAGAAATTCTTGTTGTGTACATCTGTGCCGAGTTGTATTCATTGATCCATCAGTTACACGATGGCGGAGTTTAGCAAACTGGACTGCAGCTGCAATACACACAACTCTACGGATCTGTATTTGTTCAGATCAAGTTGCAATTATTTACTGTATGTCAACTTGGGAAGTTTCTGTACGGCTCTATTCTGTCTTGGCGTTTGAAATGATGGGTATTGGGTTCAAATCTGAGTGGGAATGCTATCACTCTGTGGGGTGGGGGGGGCAGTTACATCCAACTATCGGGTCTCAAATGGGACGAATCCTGAGTTCCACTGCTAGTCGCCATCAGAATTCCTTAATGAACAAGAAATGAACGTTCACAGTACATATTGAAACACAAGTTTTCTTACAGAGGATACAGAAATACAGATGTCGGTGTTTCGGTTGATAATTTCAACACATAAAATCCACTGTTTCAATCAACGGTACAATAGTGGACAAAGATGATAATAGATAAATCAAATGATATCATGAACTGGTCATTCACACTTAAATCTCTTATTCTTTCGACAAATGCAAAACTACCCTGCACACTGGAACACGTGTGTAGATACCGACCACGCACTGGTCCGCGCTCGGGTGTGCTTACGACTGAACGGACGTAGGAAACAGCTGGCGGTAAAACCATCACGTCCCCAGCTCGATCAGGAAACTAAATCCGTATTTCAGGAAGAACTAGCTAAACACATATCTGTGTTCGACAGCTGTGCTCACCCTGAAGAAGCTTGGAAAAATATCCAGGCAGCCATAGATACAGCTGTAAAAGCTGTGAATAAGGTAAACCCAAAGGTGAGTAAAAACCACTGGATCTCCACCGCCTCATCCGAACTGATAGATGCTAGAAGACTTATTCCGGCGAGCTCCGAATTCAATGAGGAGCGAAAGCTGCACAAGAGGAAACTTACGAAAAGTCTCCGCAAGGACCGTGAACAGTGGTGGGTGACAAAAGCCAAAGAGATGGAGAAAGCTTCGAGGATAGGCAACACCAGGCAACTCTTTAGACTCATCAGGGAAACGGGTGGGAGAAGACAAATCACTAGTGAGACAATCTCGGAAAAAAATGGCACTATAATTAGCTCCCAGGATAGACGACTGGATCGTTGGAAAGAGCATTATGAGGAGCAGTTTAATTGGCCCACAGCCACGCTCAACCTTCCGAGCATCCAACACCTCCCTGAATGGGATATAGACACAGGTCCTCCATCCCTAACTGAGGTTACTAAAGCTGTCACCAATCTGAAACTAGGCAAAGCAGCGGGACCTGATGGAATGACTCCAGAGGTATTTAAGTACGGTGGAGACAGCTTACTGTCTGGATTAACTGAGGTACTAGGCAGCGTCTGGGAATCAGAAGAAGTCCCATCGGGTTGGTGTAAGTCACTGATTATCCCCATATACAAGAAGGGAGACAAGTCTTCCTGTGATAATCACAGAGGGATTAGCTTGACTAATATAGTATCTAAAGTCTTAGGCTCAATAATCATGCGTAGACTGAGTGGTGCTCGGGAGGCACAAACACGAGAGAGCCAGGCAGGCTTTAGACCAGGAAGAGGGTGTATTGATCATATCTTCACCCTCCGACAGATTCTAGAACATAGGCATTCCTACCGGCGTCCAACAGTCATTATATTTCTTGACCTAAAGGCAGCATTCGACTCTGTCGATCGAGAAGTTCTCTGGAGATGCTTGGCTGTAAAGGGAATTCCGAGAAAATATATTGCACTGATTAAGGCACTCTACTCGTACTCATACAGCCAGGTGAGGGCTTACGGCGAGCTGTCATCTGAACTGATGACGACCAGTGGTGTCCGTCAAGGATGCCCATTATCTCCTTTTCTATTCAACTTCATCATAGATGTGTTAATGGACTTAACCCTAAGTGACTTCAGCGACTCAGGGATTGACTTGCTACCAGGGAATAATCTCGTTGACTTGGAATATGCAGACGATATAGTCCTTCTAGGCGAAGACGCTGACGAAATGCAGAGTCTTCTAAACACCTTGAGCCGCAATCTACGAATGTTTGGCATGCGATTCGCTCCCGCCAAATGCAAGATGATGTTACAGGACTGGACTACATCGACGCCTAGTTTAAAAATAGGAAGTGAAGTGGTAGAGCACGTTGACCGCTTCACTTATTTGGGAAGTACCATCAGCCAGCCAACGGGCTGATCTCTGACGAAATCTCAGCACGAATACAGGGGGCTCGTTTCGCATTTGCCAGTTTACGCCGACTCTGGCGTAGACGAGATGTTCGACTATCGACCAAAGGGCGGGTGTACTGCTCATCAGTCCGCTCCGTCCTCCTTTATGGTTGTGAGACCTGGCCACTGAGAGTGGAAGACATGAAAAGACTAGCTGTCTTTGATCATAGGTGCCTGCGCTCTATTTCCCGTGTAAAGTGGCATAATAAGGTGAGCAACATTGAGGTTAGGCGTCGAGTTCTAGGTAAACAGGGGAAATCAATCGACGAAGTCGTGAAGTTACAAAGACTGAGATGGTTAGGACATGTGTTACGTATGCCAAGCCATCGCCTCCCTCGACGAGCAATGTTAGCGGATATAGGGTCAGGCTGGAAAAAAGCTAGCGGCGGTCAAACAAAAACTTGGCCTCACCAGTCAATGAAATCCACAACAGTTGGTCTAAGCCACGTAGGAAGGTGTAGACTTCCAGGCTGGGGTCCTCGGGACGGTAAAAATCTATGGTTGGAAACAATTGGTGACATGGCTCAAAATCGTTCTCAGTGGCGCAGATGCATCCACTCCCTGTGACTTATGATCTCCAATGAAACTGTTTTGTTTTTCTTTATTACTCCTTTGTCTCACACCTCTGCTCACTGTTTCTATTATGCTTTTCTTGTACTTTCTTCTCTTGCTTCGCGTGCTACACGGAGTGTGGCGACTTGAACTTCCGCACATTTGTGCAAAGTTCTATGTCGAAAACAGACAGACCCTTCACACTAGGCCTTGTCATCAGTTCATTGTACAGAGGTTGTACGAGTTTCACCTACCGTTAAGCTGTTACATGATACGTGGGACTAGACGTATGTAGCACTTTAAGCAGCCCATATTATCTCGGTATGACTGTACTTATAAGGTTGAGTAACCTATATAAGCTTCTTGAGATAATGCCTTGTTGTCTAGGCCTTTTTGATAACTCAGTCAGTCTCTTCTCAATCGGGTCATCCGAAGTTGAAATTTCTTGATGATCATTCACGGTGTGTTGTTTATCTTGTCTGCATATTCCAAATTACAATTGATTAGTCCAAAGCGTTGGACCGGTCTAGCAATTATTAAATCCGCGTTTATCTGCAGCTTATCTAGGGCGCTTGCCTGTGTTCTAGCCAAAACACCATTTGATTTCTGTTCGACTTAATTCTGTCAACTCACCTCCATTGATTGAAGGTACGAAGTTCCTAGTTTGCGTACAGATCCATCTTAACAAATCAAACATAAACGTCGCAAAACTTGAAGCAAATCATCAAGAACAACATCCGAAAAATCATAGATGTGCAAGTAGTGTCCGTAGGCCCTAAGTTTTGGGGAAATTTTATTGGGATTAGTAAAAATGGATGTGCAAGTACAGATTGATAACCCCTATACACAAACAGAAGACTTCATCAATGAAAGTAGTTGACAGAATCGTCGATTACTGCCCAAAATATATGGATTCAAACTGGCCCTCTATTATGTGCTTAGCCGATAAAATATAGGGATTATTTAAGTACTGTACTGTCAACCAAACAGTTACATACTCAATAAGGACTCAAAAACTCAACCTTAATGAAGTAAAATTGTATGTCTGCGCACATCCAGTGTAAATGCTTCTCATACACAGAAAAAGGGTGCAACAATGTATAGTATTCGCCCAATAGTCGTCGTATATCTAATTTGTATGACTGCATCACCAAAACTCATTATTTCTTTCCTTTTTGTAGATTTACACAAAACCTCTCCAGTTTTAAACATGCTCTTGGAGACTTCATCAAGAAGATGAACTCTAAACCAGATAATGGTATCACGGAATGCGCAGAACAAACCGAGTGCAGTAATTATGAACCATATATTTGTTTGGGGAGCGCAATATTACAAGCGGGTGAACAACTGCTTTGTATATGAAATCTTCAAAACTAAGACAAGATGTTCAAAATAAACTATTTTGTACAATATTTTCAATTATAAAGACTTCATTTAGCATAAAATGCATTTGTTATGAACAATGGTACATAGGGCTACGTGAATATTGTACGATTTTGAAGTCATTCTTTGCAGTAAGCCTGGAACTCATCCAAAAAGCTGAGATATAATTTGTGCTCTTCTGAAGTACAGAAGTCCTGTAATTCCTGTTGGAAGTCAGCATTGAGTCCTCGCTCCATTAGCAGTTGCATTGTGTGCTCATACATGTTCTACAAAAATAAGTTGACAGTTATTTATTTAGCGGTTAACGTCTAGACTAACAGAAATAACTCCAAAAAAAACATTGGGTTTTACTCACATCGTCAAACAGGTCAGTGTACACAAAGTAACCTGGGATCCGTTCCATCTCAACAGAATCCACGGAATAAGTGGCTAGTTAAAAGAAAGAAAATCCATTCAAAAGGTGACCTGTACATTATAACACTTATCTTAACATAAAATAAGCACATAAAGACTGTCTACAAGACAGTGGTTAACAGGACACTAAACTGTATGATGTATGTTGGCGACTCACGGATGAAAAATTGTCTATACATCCAGACATGTTGCATATCTCAGTTAGTTAAATTCACAGATACAAACTAAGCCTTTTTACTGCACTTCGATTCACTTTGAGTCTAGAATGCTCTGCCCAATCATCACAGCACACTTGGAAAAAATCCTTACAGGTTAAAACAAACTGGTGATATGAAGGTGATATGAACTAAACACGTAAAAGGAAGCAAACTTCACTTGCCCTCACAGTCTGCAATATGTCAAAAATGAAGTTAACAAAATTACGTAGCTGTGCAGTACCCTAAATCCTCTGCGTACGAACAGCTATTTAGTGGGGTCTTCACATGACACCAAATCAATCAGTCAGACGAGTAGCACGAACCGTATGCATTAGGACTGTTGTGTTCACATTTGAAACAAGTACATAGGATACAGTCCTGATAAACAGCAATCCAACAGAACTACGCTCTTGGCGACAAATCCGTAATGTAAAATGAGATATAAGGGATTTATTATGAAGGCTCATGATAAACAAGATTTTAGACTAAACAGTATGCCACTATGGCAAGGACGTCGGTAGCATGGCGGTTAAGATGCTCATCGACCATGCAGATGGTCCAGGGATCTATCTCCCCAGCCGACGCACTCCTTTACCTCGCTAAGCTAGAAATAATGCTGCTAAAGAGGTTAGGTTGGGCATGAGGCTAGTAACCACATCCTGTAAAATAAACACTGCTACAGAAACTCTAAGCCACTAGCTTGAAGCCCTGTTTCACTGGGGAACGTGAAAATAAACGGCAAGAACAGTTAGTTACATGATGTGTTACCTATTGAAATATAATTATTTATTTCTATGTAGAGATATGCGTGAAGCAGTTTCGATCTACGAGAATGTTTAAGCCCTCTTACAAGCCACGACTAGATTAGAAAACAACTCTGCTCGAAATATTACTTAGAAACTTATTATTGTGTAACTATTGATATATATATATATATATATATATATATATATATATATATATATATATATATATATATATATATATATATATATATATATATATATATAATTTACTTAATCAATTCCACAATACCCAAAGCTAAATGGATGTGGTTCATGAGTCCAAGCAGACAATGTATAGTCAGTGGTTCCCGAGTTCGAGGCCTACTTCAGCTTGGGCTACTGGGTAGTATTACCTGTACCAACTCAGTATGCCTCAGAGACCGGTTTGTAAGGTCTTCAAGGAGACTAAGTTCCAACACTTCACATACATTTAAATTTGGGAGATCTACTTCAGAGACAAGTGGTTCCAATCTCCAACTGGTTAAGATAGGTACTTGTAGCTCAGTGAACCTAGACAGAAGTCTATGTAGTACCCAGCACAGTGATTCTGACCACGTATTCGGTGAATTACACTATTCACACTACCCTAATTCTACCCCAACACTTAACTTGACCATAGTTTAACAGCATGCAGGAATAATTAGTTTTATGCTGTATAAGTATTACAAAATCAACCAGTAAGTGACCACAACAATCAATATAGAGCGTCACTGTGCATATATGCTAACAGACTCACCCTCAACCAAGTGGTTTACATACACCTACAGGAGATTAGCACACATCAATACACCAGGAAAGTGACGAATTAAAACTCATCTTGCTAAGCAATTACGAAATGTTAAGAGACTTACGAAGGTTGTTTTCTTCTTCAGTAGTAAGTTGTTGTTCAACTTCTCGGCTTGGGAGACTGCAGTTAAAAATGACAGCTCGGCCGCTGGGTTTTGTTAGCTTGATGCGCAGATCTGGACGGGCTTCCAATGGTACATCCTCCTCTGGTTTTCTGTCAGATGATGCCATATCCTCATCTTCGGCTGCACCAGGGGAAACGCTGCCGGCTAGGTTAAATTCGATGTCAACACAACTACAAAATAACTAAACAGTACGTAACTTACACTCCATCGCTATATTCTTTGCGCAAGACAAACTCACATCCTTCGCGTTTAGCTACTTGGAATCCTGCTGGGGGATTGCATGTGAAGGAGTTTTCTTTTTCTTGCTTGATTTCATTGGTCAAGACTTGATTGAACTTCCGGTCGACTAAAATATTTTTCGGTAACTATACTAAGCTTTTACTTTGAGATGAATAAGTCCTGGTCGCAATAGCACAATAATTGATAGCATTGCATTGTTTGTGGGATGAAAGAAGACGAGAACCCACTGTCCTAGCATTTGTAAATGCCAAACGGCTACCACGCAAAAACAGAGAAGCCAATTTCGACATTTCACGCAGTAAAGTAATGCCGACCACTGACACGACCTAGGTACAGCAAAACATAATGGACTTCAATACTCAATGAGTGAAGTCAACATTAATAATTAGTGTATGGGACAGTGTTAAGGATAGCATGCTTTGTACGTAAATTAATTTATCATAAAAAGTCCACAGAAAAAAAGAGAATCTTGGTACAGATGGTGCGCGAACTTTGAAAATGAATCGAAGTTTACACGTTCTTGTTTAATTTGGGTTTTTGTTGTGTTATACGCTCCAAAAGTCTATGAACTAACTTTAAATCAGTTTACTCTGACTGAAGTTAGTTTACTTTTCAGTTTTTAGTCTGTTTAATTATAAGAGGTGTGTTCTTATAACTTTAATTATTTATGTCCATTTTTGTACACTCACTGGTTTTATCACTGATTTATATGAAGGTCGTAGGTAGGGTAATACTCGAATCTTTTAGTCCCAATTCACTCTTTGAAGCGTGCCTATCGAAAGGAACTGCTGCGGAAGAGTTATCTGACAATTCCCAGTTGAAGAAGGAATGCAGTGTGATGACTACAAAAGATGATTTAGCAACATTTGCACAAACCCAACTCCCGCATCATACAGGCGCTGCTGCGAGCCTTTGGCGCAATGGGTGTGCAACGACTTCCGAAGTACGACTAGGTTTCGTGTAACGGAAGCCACTCTCACTCTCAGCGGGTTTCTAAAGCTCATGGACTGAAAGGGTCCTTTACCAAGGGAGAATATCTTTTTATTTTGATTAAAGCTTGACGCCACACCGTATTATTGGTACAAGTATGGAATTTTCAGCATGTGATATCGGTAGCCCAAATTTCGCAGGCCGACCATAGATATCAGGTGTGGATCGCAGAGGATCGAACCCCGACCATGTGCATCAATGGCGAGAGTCCCAACCTCCGTGTCACCGCTGCGACTACCTCTCAGGTACCGATGACATGACTAGCGTCATCGATAAGGCGACACATGTTCCTGACGCGTCTCTGTCTAGGAATGGCACCCACCATATTCCGAAAACCCACGCTCACCTAAGATACCCGATAAGCCCTCCAGTGACAGTAATGGAAAGACTGGAGCAAGGAAGAAGCGTTAGAAGGGGGTGGAAAACCCACAGCTAAAGTCGTTCATGGAATTGTAGATCAAGCGTCATCCACAACGGTGGTTAGCAGGCAGATACAATCGACGACGGATAACGAGGTGGGCGTAATGAACGGCGTAGTTTAGTCTCCGGCGAACAGAGAGACAAGACCAGAAAAATGGCCATAGTGTCCACAAAAGACGGAACCACATGCCGCAGATGGAGAAAGCCACGGCAAGTAGACCTGATTTCTTTGACAGGTCTCTGATCCTCCATAGAGTGGAAATGTCACCGGCTTCCGATCCCAAGGTCAGTTTCGGGCGTGATTCTCAAGAGTATGTGTGGTTGTATTGTGAGCTATCCGATCACTACTTCTGATGTAGCCGTGTAAAAGACGAAAGATGAAAGTTAAGTTGGGTTTCAGGAGTACAGACCAGAGTTGCCGAAGTCCATATTTTCGGCACGCATCCGCGTAAGTCATCCCTTCATCTCTGTGTTATAGGCGTCTTGTAAAGCTTCGTTGAATATTTTCAGTAGGAACCCTATCATACCATCCATAAAACCGAAGACGATTGCGCAGCATTCAAGTACTGGAGAACTTTGTACTGACTTTGTGTTAGAGGATTTCAGCCCTGGTTGTATACATTTTTCGGTGTAACAAGATTGCGGGTCTTCGGCATTTAGAAACAACTGGTTTTTCGTACCGACTGAATGTTAAGTTTTGTGGGTAGGTAACTCTTAAGTCCTTTATGAAATTGAGGGGAAAAGAATTACGCAGCCATTATCTGAAATTGGTATGGTATTTATTGAATCATAAAATACCACATTTATCAAACTTGAATGGCAGTCGCCACTCATTGCTCCGAGTTGTGTAGTCTACCCAGATCGTTTTGAACATGTGTGAATCCCTCATTCGGCGTCAAAAAAGGGAAGCTGTGTACAATCCTTAGGTCGTCAGCAAAGAGGTATGGGATACCATATTTGATTACAATGCAGATGTCGTTAATGTAGATGACGAAAAGCAGTGCCCATACTACACAACCCTGAACCACTCTGCCTCGCATTGGTCTAGTTGACGAGTAATTATTTGAGAGTTCCACAACCTGAGAACGATCTAACAAGAAATAGTTGAGCCAGGATAACAAGGGATCTCGAGACCTGTCTATCGTTTCTTGTCTAAGACTTTTCTTGAGTTGATTAAGAGTTGAGACAAGCAAACTGTCAATGTAGTTGAAGATTAAACGATCAATTCACGGTTGTTTGCTCAAATCCAACTCCATATTTTTCGCGGGAGTCATCAATACTGCAGTCTTCGTTTCATCGGTCGCTGTTCGTTGGAAGAGAGAAAACTATCATAATAATGGTATATTCTCATTTTGTACATGAGGGACGCCATGTTACAGGCATCATCAATCTGATAAATTACATATATGATTAGCAATCATACTTAATAATAATGTTTTAATAAAATACACATTTTTTCCTACCTATGTAGGACACATCAAATGTACAGGCATGGATAAGCATTATTAAAATTTCATAAATTTGGTTCATGGTTAAATTACATGGTTGCCGACGTTTTTGTCTTTGGTTTGTGGGAACAATATGATAACCAGTCATTCAATGGGGCACATCATGAAATATAGGAATATTGTCTTCGCATTAACAAAAAAACCCAAGTAAGTTTTGGATGTATTAAAAATACTTGGGAAAAAATAAAGCTTGAAGTAATTCCACAATATAACTTAGGTGTGTACAAGTTCGAATCTCATTTTTGATTTATATTCAAATTGGGTAATAAGAAAGCTATTTTTACAGATACGATCAGTTATAAGTTACAATCGTGTCGTTGTATTACAAATAGATACTTTTCCATTGGTATAAGAGTATATTCCACAAATGTAATCCAAGTTGCGTCGTGGAGAAAGTTAATTCGTTATTAACCAGGCAACTGAAAGATACGAGACCAATAATGTTTGCAGATCATTTGTCATTGTAAATGGTCAAATATCCACATTATTCATTCTCATTCAAAAAGTCCAATGGAAGCTAAAATGGTGAGACAAAAAAGAAGACAAACAACACCAAAGCAAAAGAAAGCAAGAGGAGTCCTTAAGGAGTGATTAATAAATACATGCATATATATTCTGTCTAGTAACTATGGTTATTTTTGTTCACTAACTAACTAGTCCCGTTATGCTAACTTTTATATTATGTGTAAACTAATATTACTGTCCTGTGTAGAAATGTTTATCATCTAGTTCCAATAATATTAAAATTTACAATTGTAGTTTGTTGTAACTACACGTTTAAAGAACTCAAAATATCTATGTAGGGTGAAAAAGAGGGTGTAAGAGTCAGGCGCAAAAGTGCATTGTCATCTTTGAGCAGTCTGGTGACTGAGGAGATGAACACTGGAAGTGTGTTTGCATCGCGCACATTAGCTGGTAGTCTATTCCAAATGACTGAAAACTTATTTAAGAAGAAGTTGTACCGCACGTAAGTCTGACAGTGCTCTATAGCAGCTAGGTTGTGATGATTTCTAAGATTGTAACTGATGATAGTGGTAGGTTTAGTTATTGGCTCGGAGGAATGCAAGAGAAGATTAGTTAGCTTATAGTAAAAGATAAGGTTTAGCTTAAGGCGTATTTTCCAGAGGGGTTCTAATGCCAGGCAGCGAAGTGTTGTTATTTTATTAAGGAGAGATCTAGCATTCAGGAGCATAATTGTTAGTAAACCAGAGTTATTGGAGGAGAGGTTAACGTGGTTACTTGTTTCTATCCCTATGTTATGTTTGGAGGGGCTCTGAGGTGAGACAGAGTCAGTGTGTGTACTATTTCCTGAATGAACTGTGCAGCGAGTGGGGCTATTGTTTGCTGTAGCCGAAAATAATCTTGTCGCATATTTTGACTGTTATGAACAAATATATATATTTCTTCCTGTTTGTGCAGGAACATACCAATTGTACATGCATGGATAAGTTATTATATAAATTACACACAATTTAATGTATGATGAATTTACAGTTTGGTTGTTCTTTCTGACATTAGAGTCCATCGGAACAGTCTGCTTTAAAGTCTGTTTGTGCAACAAAAAAAGAAATATAGAAATATTGTCTTCGCATTAACAAAAAACCCAGACATCAGATGGATGTATTACAAATATCTGGGAAAAATAAAGCTTGAAATCAATTCTCTTATATAACTTTGTTGTGAACAGCACCTTTGGCTTAAAGTTTATCGATGTATTATGTTGAGATCAGTGATATATTTATTCCACTTTTTCAGCAGTCTTATCGTAGTTTTATAACAGAAAAGAAATTTGATCGTGAAGGCGAAAATTAGATAAGGTCATGTTGGGTTGTTTTACTGCATCAAATGGCGCCGAGGTCGATTCCAGAATTCTCCATTTGTGTCTGCATGGCGGACTGTATTGGTAAGTTCAGTAAAATGTTGAAAACTGTTTGAAAACCAGTTGCTTCTTCATTTCAGGTCATGAATACTCATTTACAACATGTTCGCCAGCGTCTTCAAATGGTAGAATTGGATCGTTCATGGAATTTGAGTGGTTATGAGATAGACGGTTTGGAATTAATCCTCATTTCAGTTTAGATGCAGGGTTGTTTGACCTCGACCAGAAGATGAATAGGAGCAGCAGAATAACAGAAAGAGAAAGAATGTGAACATGAAAAGGACATTTAATATTTCATGCATATATAAATGTTTATGTCAACTGTACATTATACATCAGTAAAAATTTACGTTTTAGTTGTGTTTTCACGTATTTCTGCGAAGTCTTAGAGTTCATTTAGTGTCATAATGTGTATTAATGAGTCCAAGTGTTTTAGCGTTCTAATGTCTGGTGCGTTTTAGAAATAAGTGATGGGTTCTGGTAGGGATAGTAA